GACCGAGCCAGAGCTCGTCAGGAATCTACGTGACTTGATGACGCAACTGTAGCCGACAACCGGATCAAATCACGCTACTAAAAGATACATTTTCGTGCCTCCAGACTTGAACAAAGTCACAAACGTTTTTCTCCGATTCGACGCAGTGCAACCGCCCTTACAACCACGATGCGAAGGTAACTACGCAGTACTAGAACGACACTACAAGAACTTCAAAATCCAACGCGACAACGGCACAGTCTTGGTGTCTATCGACCGTCTCAAACCCGCGTTCGTGTTCAGAGAGGATCCCGCAGCCACACGTACGAAACACATGCAGAAGTCACCAAGCAGCTCAAAAACGAGTACGTTTTTCTTTTCGCCCTCAGGGGAAGTAGTGTGGTGACCCACAACAATGATATTTTGTAGCCGCGGTATTAGCGTGCCAGCCGCCGCAAGATGAGCGCCCCTCCTTTAATTTTGTATACTGCGCGTACCTACTGCCTCCATGACGTGACCGCTGTCGACCGACGAACTTTTTCGGACGTACGTCGTCGCAACACTCCGCGATCTGTAGATCTGCTACGTAACGAACGAATACCGAACGCCATAGAAACCACTTTAATTTATACTCACGTTTGTACGCCATTGTCAACCATATTTTATTATTTATTTTTTTCGACTATTATAATCAACTTGCATTTTTAATATGTGTTTGTTTTATTCAATATTGGTAACCTTAACAAATTGACAATCCGTCAATTTTTGGAACCTTTTGCTGGCCATCCCCCGTCACCCACCCACCTTGTCGTTTCCAGTCCATTATATCTTAGTCCGTGGATATTATCATGGACATTTTGTTAGGAATGACGGAATGTCGATTTTAGGTTACCAATTTTCAATAAAACAAAACGTATTAAAGTATAAGTTAATTATAAAAGTCAAATAATAATTCAGTCAGAATAAATAATATAAAAAATGGTACACGATGGCGTTCGGACGAGAGTATAATTAAAACATGGTTTTTATAGCTTTTGCGATATTCGGGCGTTACTTAAAACGAACTACGGAGCGCGATGCTTTGGTGACGACGTAAGTCCGAAAAAGTGAGCGAGTTCGTCGGTCGACAGTGGTCGCATCATGAAGGCAGTAGTACACGCAGTATGCAATATTAAAAGGAGAAGGGCGCACAGCTTGCGGCTGCTGGCGTGCTAATACCGCGGTTACAAATCATTGTTGTGGGTCGCCACACTACTCCCCCTGGTAAGTAAAAAATGAACTTGTTTTTTTTTAGATTGGTTTGGCTTCATATGAGTGATGGGTTCTCGCGTAGGACGAATGCTGGCTTGAGCCTGTCGACGAGAACCCATACCTGGCGGTTGTTGCACTGCGGCTTGAAGTTTTTTTCGAGTTGCTCTAAAACGACTAAAACTGCGTGTGGTCCCTCGTAGTGTGGTTGTAGAGGTGGTTTGACTGCGTCTATTCGTAGAAATATATGACTGACGTTTGATATGTCCTTTGGCGCGAATATTGACCGTCTCGTGTTGTGGTTTGTACCGGGCGTAGGTCGTAATTGTCCCATGTCATAGCGTAACGTCGAGATTAGGTAGTTCTTGGTGGTTCGGTGAGGAATTGCTAAATAGAATAACTATTTTAGTTATTTCGTTGTGATAGCAGGGGCGCCATTTGGGGGGGGGCAGGGTGTGCACTCGCACACACTGTAATTTTGGTGTCCACAATTGGCCTTCGCCTCATTAATACTATGGCCTTCAGTTTGCTTATCTTTAATTGTACATGCACCGCAGCTATTCACTGATAATCATAAATTATATTATAATATTATTGTGTTCTTCAATTTGATAATTGATAAATTGATATCGGTTTCACTTTATCCACTGGACACACAAATATGTGTAATTGGTAAATGGTTATTGATAAACAACAGACATAATAATACGCATCTATTCCAGGGGCGTCATTTCAACTTTTCAATAGGGATGCAAACATTTGAATCAGACCAATTGTTCCCTCCACCAGGCCATTTATATATCCTGTTTATTTAGCGGAACTTAAAAAAATTTCCGATCGCTTCGCTCACTCATATCCCCACATTTTAATATTAAAATACTCATTAATACTTTTTTTTCAAACATATTTAACCAATTTCATATAAATAAAAAAAGATATATTTAATAATATTTGTATTAAACAATAACATAAAAAGAAATACAAAAACTAATTATGTACTTTAACTAAGTAAATAGGTATAACAGTAAAAGTACTAAAAGTTATTAAAAAAGTGGATATCTCCTATTCTTCATTTTCCCAAAATCATCCACAGCTTTATTTAAATCTATTTTATTGGCCTCGTCCTTTTCCACGTTTATTATCATGAGATCACTGAGAAAAACTGAAAACACTAGAAACGTTTTTTTAACGATTGGCCTGGAGGTGGGAAAAAATTGGCCTCTTTAATTGTTTGCACACCTTAAAAAAAAACTGAAATGGTGCCCCTGTGTGATAGTATAATATTATTCGTGGGTACTTGAAATTTCTAAAGTACACTATTATATATATATGATAGTATCAGGGTTTGTTGTTGATGTATAACGCTTTATAAGTACCTAATGGATATTGTGATATGATTAATTTGGAATTTATTATAGGTACCTACCTATAATAGGTCAATATTTTTTAATACCAAAGATAAGTATATATTAGGCCTTATACCTAGACTGACATACCGTCTCCGCTCAGAATCGTTTTTCTTATACAGTGATATTATATCATTGAATTCAAATTTAATATCATCCATTATACAGTGACCTACTTGTAACCTACTGTACAGCAGAGCACCTTTTTTAAATATTGTAATTGAGTAAAAATGTTTGAAATGTACTTAACGGGTTCAAACTACTTTGTATGTATATGTTTTCATCTTCCTTTTTTGAGTTAAAACTATTTTAACTTTCGAACTATTTTGATATTCGATTTTTTTTGTTTGAGTTCGGTTTGGTTCGGTTTTTTTAAAACTTGTTTCAACTGTCGAACTCGAACCGAACACCTTAAGTTCAGTTCGATTGTTCGAACTTCAAACAGTTCGACCCACCTCAAATTATTATTGTTACATTTTGAATTTTATTGTTAATTTTGTTTTTAGATAATATAAATTGAACATTGATTATTGAAATAATATTAATCTTAGTTTTAATACTTTTTTAGGTGTCAAGAAAGGTAGATAAAGTTCATCTAGATTCTTTTATATTTCTTTATTTATTATTATATAATATTTTAGTTCTTATTATAAACGGATACTGCGAACAATATTGTCTATAATATGCATCATTAGTAAGACAGACATAAAACGTTTGACGTCTGAGTATCTATAGTTAAAAGCCATTTTCATTTAAATTTTAATCATACATCAACAACGATAATCACAAAATATCTTTAACGTTTTATTTCTAAATAACGAATAAACGCAAAACTCGTTCAACGTTTTAATTATAAGTTATAACTAATGGAACACACTGTAGAATAGTTGTGCAACGTTTTAATTCTTATAATAATATACTATTAACACGAAATTATTTTTTCAGAGAAACCTGAGAAAACATATTATGAGGTAATAAAGTTCTTTTGGTATTTATTATATTCCTTTATTTATCACCATACCCACATTATTTAATTTAATATTATTATTATTATTATAAAATATTAATCTATAGATTCAATATATATTTTACAGGATCGCCGAGACTTTAATTCTTCAACTGGAGCATATACATCAAATCAAAACTCACGGTACTAAGTTCCATGTCGTTAAATTAGTTTATAGAAAATTTAAATTTAACATTAAGTCATTAATGCAATCGTCAACCACATAATATAAGAAAATGACATCTAAATCGCACAGTAGACTTTTAATAAGAGCATGTTACACTGCTTGCTTGTATTTTTTCTGTCTTACCAAATAGTAAAGCATACCTATAACACCAAATTTACCTGAAAAATAATCAATTATACTCGGATAAATTTGATATTAAAATTAAAAGACCGTGTAAAACGGATTATTCTTAACGTAAACAGGTTCCACGACAAAATATCACCGTAAAAATATCCCGGTCAAAATATCTCTGACAAAATATCCCTCTTAAATATTAATTTAAAATGTAACCTTCACTACAGTTACGATTAGATTAGAAGTACCTAATAATCACACAACAATAATCACACTTTACCTATCTAAAGTGATTGTGTGTTATTGATATTGACAACAATTAATTTAAATTTAAATACACTGAACAACTCCGAAATATGGTTTGCTGATGGTACGTTTAAATCTGTACCCAATTTATTTAATCAACTGTATACTGTTATCTAAGTATTATGTGAGGCAAGGGTGGCGGCACTGCACAATGTTCATGGGTTAGAGACAGTTTATGTGGACACTGGATAGTCAGTATGCGGCAACGTCCGGAGCAGGAGAGTGCGTAACCGGTGATTTGTGCGTGTCGTTCCTCGTGTCGAGTTGCTTAAAATATTATTAATAAGTGTTGTATGTTTGAAATTCTTATTGTACATGAAAGTTTTGTAATAAACGGTTGTCAGTTATATTATAGTTAACAACATCAGAAGTGGGATTCGAAGTCGTTCGATTTAAAAGTGCGTGTTACCGTTGCTATAAACCGAACGGAATAGACGTACCCGCGAGTGCCCGCCGACATCGTGCAGATGACATAAGCCCTAGGAATTACCGTTGCGGATCGTAGGCAGCGAAGGCCGGAGATCATTGGAACGAAGGGGTACAAATTGATTCTGGCGGTTGACGATTGCGTGGGACGTTTCGGCGTTAGTACTATTGTCGTGGAACAATCGCGAAGTGAGGTTATGTGTCGTTACCAGTGAACTGTGCCGTGGTACGCGGTAGCTGGTAGTTGGTCAGTAGAGTCGTGATTGTCGCGTTGATAAGTGATATCAGATAACGTGTTGATACACTGATTAGTGATTACTGATACAAAATGAATAGTGACCAAAATCCCGTTACGAATGCACCGGTAGCACCTACCTACGTAGAACTGTACACGATGGTGCAACAATTAAGTGAACAGTTGAAGGCTATGTCCGAGAGCCAAAGGCAAAATGCTTCCTCGAGCGGTGACAACTCGAATCGCGCCAGTTGTACTACTGCTGAATTTCGCATCGTCCCGGACCTGAACAAGACAGTAAAGGAATTCTGCGGACGAGAAACGGCGTGTGAAGCGGATGATTGGTTCGAGTCCGTTAATACGTTGGCGCGAATAAACAACTGGCCAGACGGTTACAGGTTACAGTTCATACGTTCGTGCTTGGTCGGAGCAGCACGGAATTGGTTCCTAGGACGGGAGTTCGAAAACTGGGACGATTTCTCCAAGAAATTCAAATCCACGTTCTCGAGGGGAATGCGTGTCACCGACAAGTGGAACCTGATGCAAAAACGAGTTCAACAAAAGAACGAACATGTAGTGGACTTCTTCCACGAAAAAATAAGGATGTGTCGAGAATTGAAACTGTCCTTCGACGAGATCAATTATCACGTGCTGCAAGGCGTATATTCGCGTGAGCTGGCCATTTTCGCGCTGAGTAATAAACACGAAAACGAAAATGAGCTGCTTGGAGACCTACTAGAGTGGGAACGATTGAACGCTCTGCGTAACGGTATAAGCCGAAAAGACGATCTGGTCGACAAAAGAAATGAAAAATCCAACTACAGTTCAAAGAAGTCTGAAAAAAATGTGACGGCGACCGTGAACCAAGTACCGTTGTACGTAGCACCGCACCGACGGGAGACTAAGACTACTACGACTAACGGAGAATTACCAAGTAGTGAACAGGTCGAGTGCTGGTTTTGTCACAAGACAGGCCATGTCGGACGCGATTGTTCTCAGCGTCTAGAGAAGCTGACGTGTTATGGTTGCAGTGGTAAGGGTCATTTAAAAAGAGACTGTCCGGCACGGAGCAAGGCAGAAACCAACGTGACGACGACGGGAGTCACAGTTGACAACCCACATCGGTATTTAAAGTATGGAGTCATACGAGGTGCAGTGGTGAGTCTACTTGTAGACACGGGTTCACATTATTCACTAATTAAACAAAGTGTAGCCGAAAGAGTTGGATTGGTGATCGAGTATGCTACGCAACCGTTGTACGGAATTGGTAGTGTAACAGTACCAACCACGACGACAGTTGGAAGGGCGTTGGAGAGCATAACGGTCGAAGGTGTCGAGGCTGGACCCGTAACGTTATTAGTAGTACCTGACGATGCACAGCGCACGGAACTCATAGTGGGTAGAGGTTGGTTAGATCTACCTTACGTCACGTACTACAAGACCAGCAACGACCTGATTATAAAAAGAATTGACAAGAACTGTCTGAGTACGTCGACAGGAAACGCGGACATAACAAGTAGCACCGATGCTATAGTGCATGTGACAGAAGTTGATGAGTCACTGTACAGGGAGCCGCTGACGGAAGCAGATTTCAAGTACGTAAGCACTGAAGCGACAAGGGTGGAAAGGGACGAGTTGCTAGTGTTGCTGAATTCGTACAGAGACACCTTTGCGAAAAACCTAAGTGAACTCGGGTGTACCGAAATGGCTGAGCTCCGCATAGATGAAGAGGAAGGCAGCAAACCAGTGACTTGTAGACCATATAAGGTGTCATTGGCAGAACGCAAGGCCATGGCTGAGATAATCGCTGAGTGGAAATCGTGCGGAATAGTCACGGAGACACGGTCACCGTATGCGAGTCCCGTACTACTGGTATCACAGAAAGGTGGCAAGTCAAGACTGGTGGTCGACTACAGGCGCTTGAACAGACAGACTCGGAGACAAAACTTTCCACTACCAAGCATGGATGAACAGATTACGTTGCTCGGAACCGGACAGCTGTTCGTCCAGCTAGACCTTGCGAATGGATATTTTCAGGTACCGCTGGCAAAGGAGTCTAGAGAAAAGACCGCCTTCATTACACCAGACGACATGGGTGAGTTCACAAGAACACCGTTTGGCCTAGCTGGAGCACCTGGGGAATTTCAACGACTGATGAACGTAGTGCTGGGAGAGCTGCGTGGTACATTAGTCAAGAGTTATTTGGATGATTGGGTGTTGGAGGCCAGTGACTGGGAAGACATGCTGACCAAATTGGAGCTAGAGTTGAAGTGCTTAAGAAAGGCCAAACTAACGTTGAGACCCGGTAAGTGTATGTTCGGAACCAAAGAAATCGAATTTTTGGGTTTCGTAATCACCAAGGGCGAAATTAAACCTGGTCGGGAGAAAACTAGGTCGATATCCGAATTTCCAAGACCCGAGAATATACACGAACTGCGGGGAGGTTTCTAGGACTGACCAGTTTCTTCAGGAGGTTTGTGAAAGGGTACGCTGTCCTTGCAGAACCACTGACTCGACTGACGAAGAAGGAAGTATCGTATACATGGGAATCGAAACAGGAGGATGCTTTTGTTCAATTAAAGAAAGTGTTGTCGCAAGAGCCTGTTTTAAAGATGTTTAACCCCGAGGCCGAAACAACAGAACTACACACGGATGCATGCGCATATGGCTTGGCCGGTATGTTGTTTCAGAGGGATACATCTTTGGACAAATTGCGTCTAGTTCACTGTGTAAGTAAGAGATTAACAGAAGCAGAACAGCACTACCACTCCAGTAAACTAGAACTCATGGCCATGGTATGGTCAGTGAAGCGCCTCAGGTCCTATTTGTTAGGAATTCAGTTTACTATCTACACTGACTGCCAAGCGTTGACTTATTTAAATTCGTGCCGGATAAGCAATCCACAGATAGCGCGTTGGTATGACCTACTACAGGAGTACGTGTTCGAGGTCAGATACCGTGCGGGAACTAAGATGCAGCATGTCGACGCGTTATCCAGAGCTCCACAAACTGACCACGAAACAGAAGGTGCGGTGGAGGAGATACTGTGCAGTGACCTGGACGTATGCAACGTGCTGACGGTTGAAGACAAGGTTATGATGGTACAACGGTCGGACAGCGAAGTCAGTGAAATTGTGAACATGATGAAAAAACCAAAGGAAGAAAGAACCAAACACGAAAACGGTAGGACAAGACACTATGAAATTAGAAATGGACTACTGTACAGACGCTGTAAGGACAAACTGTTGTTCCGGATGCCACGGAGCATGAGGAAAAGCATACTAGTAAGCGCGCACGACCTGAACGGACACCAGTCTGTGGATAAAACGGTAAGCCATATATTGCAAGACTATTGGTTCCCAGCGTTGCGACGGTATGTAAGACAGCATATCCACATGTGCTTGGAGTGCCTAATGATGAAGACACCACGGGGAAGGCGTCCTGGATTGTTACACCCAATGCCAGTTGGAAGAAGACCCTTTGAGATTGTACATGCCGACCACATAGGTCCTTTTGTAACCTGTCACCAGGGAAACAAGTATGTGTTGGTCTTAGTAGACAATTTCACTAAATTTGTATGTCTATTTGCAGCTGAGGATACAAGCGCGTTGTGCACGTTGGCAAAGGTGCAACAATTTGTGTCACAGTATGGGCTGCCTAGAAGGTTAATTACAGATAGAGGTACCTGCTTCACTTCTAGAGTTTTCACAGAGTACTGCGAAGACAATGGTATGCTGCATGGGCTAACTTCAACTAGGCGACCGCAGGCCAATGGGCAGTGTGAAAGAGTTAACAGTGTGGTAACATCAATGCTACGAACTCAAGTTAAAGAAACTGAAGAGTGGAGTGACCTATTGCCCATGGTGCAAAGGCAGATAAACAATTCCGAAAGTAAAACTACCAGGAGAACTCCGTTTGAGTTGTTACATGGTTATCGACCGCGTTATGACTTGGGTAAGCTAAGGGAACTGTCTACCACTACGGAAGACTGGACTTGTCCGGAAACGTTAAGGGAAGAGATACGTGACGCCATGGAGAAGGAAAAGGAACAAACCAAGGCCAGGTTCGACAAACACAGACATGACCACATCAAGTATACTGTGGGAGAGGTGGTAGTTCTGAGCAGAACACCAGTTCACACCGGTGAGTCTACAAAACTGCAAGAAAAGTACAAAGGACCACTAGTGGTGACTGAGGTGTTGCCAGGGGACGCATATCGAGTAGCCCAGCTGGAAGAAGGGGCCAGAAGGCATTTTACAACCACAGCGCACGTGAGCCAACTGAAGTCGTGGAAGATAGCACCAGAGGAAGAGGACAGATCAGAGGAGGACAACGAAGCAGACAAGGAGGTCAAGGGAAGGGCCCGAAGGGAGGTCAAGGTGCCAAGACGGTTCCAAGACTATCAAATGTATTAATGAGATGATGTAAAGAAAATTTTTTTGTACATGAACAATTACTGTTCTAGTTGAATTATGTTGTCTATTTAATACTATGTTATTTTTTTTGTATATGAACAATTACTGTTCTGGTTGAGTTATGTAGTCTATTTAATACTATGTTAATTTTATTTTGTATATGAACAATTACTGTTCTAGTCGAGTGATGCTGCTTAATTAATACTATATAAGAGTTTTTGTTAATGGAACTATATCATAAAAGTTATGCTGAAGTATAATGTTAGTTATAAGTGTAGCTTGATGTTAGATACTTGACATGTTGATCACAACAGGCCAGTTCGAGGACGAATGTTGGTCAGGAGTGGTCGGGTGTTATCTAAGTATTATGTGAGGCAAGGGTGGCGGCACTGCACAATGTTCATGGGTTAGAGACAGTTTATGTGGACACTGGATAGTCAGTATGCGGCAACGTCCGGAGCAGGAGAGTGCGTAACCGGTGATTTGTGCGTGTCGTTCCTCGTGTCGAGTTGCTTAAAATATTATTAATAAGTGTTGTATGTTTGAAATTCTTATTGTACATGAAAGTTTTGTAATAAACGGTTGTCAGTTATATTATAGTTAACAATACTATTCACGGTAACATCGACTGTATTGTATATCCACTTATCTATCTATCTACATATATAAAATTACTTGCCTGAGTGATTCATCATTGCATAGCCAGAACCACTGAACGGATTTGGCTGAAATTTGCCACATAGATAGCTATTATGACATAGGCGTCCGCTAAGAAAGGATTTTTGAAAATTCAATCCTTAAATTGAAAAATAAGGGGTGGTAAGAATATAACAGTGGCGCCATCTATCAAGCAATATCTTAATTAAATATACAATATTGGGTTTAAAATGCAAAGCGTACGAACTTAATATTTGGAATAGTTAGGGCCCGTTTTACAATCATAGTTTAAGCCTTGGTTATGCTTAACCCACTGATTTTACTGGCCGAATTCGGCGGTTTAACTTTAGTTAAACTATTGTAATGAAGCGCACTTAGTGGTTCCTCTAATGATCTAGATATGCAATAAGAAAGGATTTTCTGATTTTCGCTTTTTAAGAAGGTAGTAAAGCAGGGATCTTAAGATTCACGGTAGAAATTGAAACTTTTTTTTTGTTTATTTATGATTGCAGGTTATATATTATGCGAATTATTTCACAAAGCTAGGTACAATTACGACGGTTTGTCCGCAAAAATAAAATAAAATACCCCCCCCCCCCAAAAAAAAAAAATATATCAATTTATAAATATTTAATACTCCTAGAAATTCGGGATGATCAACTATGCCTACAACAATACTGTTTTAGTTACACTGTACTTATACAATTTTTTTTTCAACAACATAGCTATACTAACATAGATTATAATATAGGCTTTATTTTATTTTACATATTCGTTGTTTTCTAATTATTGATAAAAAATATTTTGAATATTTATTTAAAACACTTTTAATTGTTTTTTTTTGTGTTCTATAAAATATGTAAATAATAATTTTACAATTTTATTATAATAATAAAAAATCGTATTAATATTTATTCAAATTTTACTAAAAAGGTTAACATTTTGAATTAATATTTACGTGGGATATTTAGTCATGGAATATTTTTGTGGGGATATTTTGGTTTCGGGGTATTATGTTGGGGATATTTTGACGTGTCACCACGTAAACTAGTCTATAATATGCATTGGGAAGAGACAAAGTACGCTGGTTTTTATAGACATCGTCCGTTTTATTTTAAATATCCAATACTTTGTATATTTACAGCGTATTGAAATGTCTATAACGTTTTAGTTTTAAATAACGATATACGCACATTTCGTACAAAGTTTTAATTATAATTAACAATAAACACAAATGTTTGGTAAAGTTTTAATTTTAAATAACGTAAATCGAATTATTTTTTCAGCGACCATGACAATGGCTCCAGCGAAGACGGAAGCGGCGACGCGGCCGCCTCAGCTTTAACCGTAGGTTATCTCGGCACCCTCAACAACGATAGCAGCGGCTACGGCCTTGGTGAAGGTGGTGGTTGGGGTGGTGGTGATGGTGGTTGGGGTGGTGGAGGCGGTGGCGGTGAAGGTGCCGGCTAATATACATTTAAAAAATACCAAACGGGTATATTATAAAGTTCATAGAGTTTCTCCAGATTCCATTATATCTCTTTGTTTATTATTATACATTATTTATTTATACTATCTTTATAAAAGTAATATCATATTATGTTATATAATTTTACAGATAACAATATACTGTTAATTTAACTTATATCATATTATTATTATTAATAAAATCTACTATATATTTTACAATAATATATAATATATTATATACATATTAATATTTTAGTATGGGTTATTCGTTTTGTTAGGTTGAACATTTTTATTTGTTCAAAAAATAAAATACTTTATTGAAACTGCAAAATACATTTGTTAATTACTTATACCTGCACCTTTCATGTTGTCATTCGTAAGTCGTAGGACGGTACTGGTTTGCGCAAGAATACCAAAAATAAAACTTGTTTGGGCATAAAACTACCACTCATTTGGGAATACTTAAGCCGTAACCATACACATGGTTTCCGCACAGTTATCTTTAATAGTTTAATACCTTGCATATTAATATTTTTTTATTAATAAGTAAATTATTAAAGTACTTACATACATTTTCCTTCCCTCTTAACAGACTTACGACTGCCTATGAATGTGTTCAGAGGTTTGGTTAAAAATGCATGTTAATTTTAATTTTAATATAATAATATTATTGGTAAATAATATTAAATACGTGTAGGCCAATATACCTAAGTGTCTATTATTTTCAGTAATAATAGTTTCCCATTATTTGTATGTATTTAATTTGATCTATTTCGCCAGATGTATATTTTGTAAATAAGTTTATACGATATCCAATTGATTCTACTGACTCCTTACTCTTTAAGCTCACGAGATGTACTACTTTATTGTAAGGAATTTAATAATATTTCCGTACTCTTAATCGTTGATTATCATTTATCAGTGCCCAACACAGATAAAATATAATTATGTTCGTGTGCGCAAATTAATTGTACCTTTAATATAACCATATACCTTATTCTAATAGACGGAACATACAGGCGGGATGCGGGTGGGTGGTGCGGTCTTTCCTAGCTTACCAGCAGTGATGCCATTCCTTGGAACCAAAAACATTGTTATTAACACTTATCATCAGACCAAAGCCAAATACACTTATATAATTATAAACAATTAGACTATGGTCTATAATAGTAATATACCATTGTGATAGTAAGCAGTGTGTTGATAAGTCAAAGGTGCAACCGCGCAAGTAAAATTAAAAATTATTGTAAAATCCGATATATCTTGTGCGAGTGTGCGGTGTACGGTGTACTACCTTGATCAGAGCCCTCACGCTTGGACGCCGGAACTACAACCACGTACCGCCTATTAGTATAAGGTCTATGAATATAACCGTGAACGCAAACAAGTTCCTATTTTTCAGGTAAAAATTATAGATTGTGGTCAAACAAGTTGCATCCAAGTCGTAACCTACATACGAACGTCCTTAAGGACCGTAATTGTCCAGGTAGGGATTTCCATCATGGGTATTACCATATTGGCTAATCAGTACATCAAGTAACTAAAATGTTTTGCACAAGACTATCAAACGTCCACTTATTTTTATTCTTTGATGATCGCCCACCCAAATCTGACTACAATGCTGCTTCTCATCCAACCACATTATACATACAACTCAAGGAACAACAAACATCCAGTGCGTAAAGTAAGCTCAATATTATTATGTGTTGTAAAAATTAACACCGTAACCTAGGTTACAAGGTAAATGGATAACAGCTGTTATAAAACTTCAAATTTGCAAATTATTTTGTAGTTGAAAATACCTGAAAACTTTCCTTTTTATATCTAAGGTATTGAAATTGAATAAAAGTTCCTCAATAAGTATTCATATTTATAGTAAAGAAAAAGTTCAACTAATGGAATGTTACATTCAATTTTCACGAGGTTTCAAATTTCAAATTTTTACGACATTCGATATGCATTCATAAAATAATACTATTTCTCTTTAAACGGTTTTTGATATTTTGTTTTAATAAATTAAAAATTCAAATACTATAGTAACCGTAGATTTTGACTTGTAAATTCCCTTTCCAGCAACTTGAAAAAATCAAAAAAAAATCTTGATCATATGACTGTAATGTGATAGAGTTTAGGTGTTGTACATGTGATTTAATTTCTTTATATTAATACATTCATTTATTTTTTCAAATTGTTATTTTATTGTTTTGTCATTACATAATATGTGTGTTCAGTATAATATAATTAGATGCTTAATTATTGGTAGTTTTGCTAACTAATATTAATTTGTTGTAATTAATTTGAAGTTAATACTTATTTTAAATATACTATAGCTATAGTTTACCGGTCCCACCAAATGTTGTAAGGACAAAGAGTATTTTAATAAATATACTAACACAGTCAATAGATCGGGATTCTGTATGTACATGAAACCATATCGATAGACTTAAAAATGAAATGAAAATATCAATACAGCTGCTTTCAACTCACAAAGACCACACAAGTGTAATTTTTTATAATTTAAGCAGAATATTCATTAGCTGTTGAGTAACTATGTATTGCAACATTTCTATTGTGGGCAGTAACTAAAAACTTGGCCCAATTGTTATTTATTAGATAAATGTTTTTAACTCTTATCGTATGTTAGACATTTAAAAATGATTGTTTATACATTATTAAATGGAGTTCACATATGCGTGCAATTTTTAATTTGGTAACAAATACCAACGAAAATATCAAATTAACAGTTGGTCTGTTATAATTATACTTAATTACCAAAATAATTTGAGAGGTACTCAATTATCTTTAATTTTTAGCTATAATTAATTTCATGTTTTTTGTAAGGTATATCCTTATAGGTAGGTACTTTAGATCTGTATATGATATTATTATTGGAATAATTTTAAATAATTCTGGACATATTAAAGATTTTTTTAAAAAATTAAAATAATATCTTTAAAGAGACAGAAAAAATTCCGATAAATTCCAATAAAGAAAAATGCCATTAAATTAGCCCGTTACGGCCACCAACATCAGTAGGTAATTCATGAATAGCGCCACAATCATTGATCTATGTCCGTAATTCATAGTAAAATACAAAAAAAAATAGCATGCTCAGAGGGTGGAGACAACACGTTGTGACACAAATGAAGATAATATAATCGGACCAATAAAATTACCATAAGAATATAAATAATCATACACAATCTTTAGATAATACAATATACATATTATAATTAATTATGCAGCTTCAACACTTAATAACTTCACGAAAATACAAATAATACTAAAACGGACATAATTGAGATTATTAATCTACCTCGCTCCATAAACCGTTAAACAACAACTGATATCGGTATCACAGTATCCAATATCGGTTTCAAGTCCTGCATTAATATTATATTACCTATTATAGGTAATGACTGATGTGCTTGAAACGGAAAACATTATTTGCGATTTCTATTTCGGTTTCAGATATAGGTAGTTATTATTTTCGATTTTGATTTCACACAGCTTATAATAATAAATTGTATTGTTATATATTAAAGCGTTTAATTATTTCAAATAATATACCAAATATTCTAATTAGTTAGGTAACCAAAGCATTTTGATAAGTATTGTAAAGTATCTATTTATATTTCTAAATAATTATATTTCTATAATATAAGATTGTAATTTGTTATTAAAATATTCTAAAAATGTATGAATCTTGAAGTTACCAAGGTGAATCCATGATATGCTTTAGCCTGGGAAGCTCACTTATGAACTTTATTATGCCTTTATTGTTGTTACGAAACAAAATATACTAAAAAGGTCTTTCTCATGAGCAAAAAAATATCAAGTATGACTAGTAATTAGCACATATGTAACAAGGAGGACACATTGATAAAAGTATAATTTATACAAATACATTTCAACGTTATGACAAATGAAAAACACACCGATGAGGCGGCAACGAACAAACAACGGTGAGGTTATTATCAGTTATAACAGATACCACGACCAATACCGATATAGATTACCCAGAGAGTATATATACTAGTGCATATCCACAGGAGCTCAAGTCACCAACGACCTGGATTCCACTGGATCTGGAAACTTCATGACCTAGGACGACGACATAGCCTCCATTCACATAAGCTCCGAAAGTAGCAGCCAAGAATCCTCCTTTGAAAATACCGACTCATCATCAAATGCAATTCAAAACACTCATGTAGCAAGATCCGATACGAATCACCATCAAACGCAATTCAAAACACTCCTGTTGCAAAATCTTCACCTCAGCTAAGTAATCAAGTGAACTCATCATACCCAAAATATCCCCTATCATTATCGATATTAATCCATGGCCAACAGCTTCAAAACTCATCATACCCATGTTTCCAAGCAAAGACCTTTCAGCAAAACTCGTCAAAAATGTTATACATTTACAAACTATCGACATTGATACTTTCCAGAAAGCTTAGTATAAATTCTAGGATAATAACATACCATTCCACACTTTTTATTTGGCTGAAGAACGCACTCTCAAATAAACTCCCCAGAGGTATCCCTTAATATTTCTCTAAAGACCTGGTTAAAGCAGAACTTGAACTTAAAGGATTTGAAATCCTAACCATACACCAATTTCCAAAAGACGACCGTAAACCAAATATGTTTATGGTAACACTCCCAAACAACCCATATAAGCATATCTTCGACCTATCCGCATTATTCTATATTACAATCAGAGTAGAACCATACCGCTCTTCTTTGGCTACTCCTCAAACCACTGCATGATTATCCGTGGTTTGATGCCTTACGGCTACAACCGCGTACCTTGAATTAGCGCTGAGCGCTAGTTAAGAGACGCGGAGGCCTCAGTCGCCGAACCCGGTTTTACCCGTAGCCCGGCGACTGGCCGCCAGAGGTGGACGGCACACCGGTGGTGGCCTCTTCCCGCCTACCGTTAAAGCTGCCGGATCTGCGTAACCGCTGTCCCCGGACGCCCGCCAGTTACGGTGTTTGCCGGCTACACCAGCGAAATACTAACAACCCGCTCGAATCCGACTCCAACGGATTGGAAATCCGATTGACCGGGCGGGAAGCATTCCTGGCTCGAATACTCCCCTGGGCTAACCCGGCCCCCGAGCTACCATTCATATGTGTCAGCGGTTGGACATACTTCGGCGGCCGCCTCCGCATACCAAATTTGGGGGGGGGGGGGGTACCCTACCTCAAACCACTGCAATCGCAAGCCAAAATGCATAAAATGCGGCGACTATCACGAAACTAAAACCTGCATAAAAACCGCCGATCAACAACCTAAATTCTGCAATTGTGGTGGCCCCCACACGGCAAACTACCTCATATGCCCAGCATACATATCCGCTCTTGTTGAAAAACAATCAAATCCTAACCATATGAAATCAAACCACATGGCTAAAGCACCTACAATTACAGAATCAAACACATCATTTGAAATCATTGGAAATCCGATTGCCCGGCGGGAAGCATTCCTGGCTCGAATACTCCCCTGGGCTAACCCGGCCCCCGAGCTACCGTTCATATGTGTCAGCGGTTGGACATACTTCGGCGGCCGCCTCCGCCTACCGAAAATGCGTAAAATGCGGCGACTATCATGAAACTAAAACCTGCATAAAAACCGCCGATCAACAACCTAAATTCTGCAATTGCGTTGGCCTCCACACGGAAAACTACCTCATATGCCCAGCATACATATCCGCTCTTGTTGAAAAACAATCAAATATATGAAATCAAAACACATGGCTACAGCACCTAAAGTTACAGAATCAAACACATCACCGAAAAACATTCAATCAATCTCTTCATATGCATCAATCACCTCAAATAAAACAAATAAACAATTGGAACCAACAATAACCATCCTGAAGCAGTTTTTCACAAACCTCCTCACTAAGGTAATTGTGAAAATTTCTGAAACACATTACATTAAACAAACCCTAATGACGGCCATCTCAGCCATAATCTCTATTATCAACCACCATTAATAGCTCCCTCCGGATCTTAAATTGGAACTGTCAAGGCATAACAAACAAAAGCCTTGAACTTACCCAGCTGATAAACCAACTAAAAACAGATATTCTTCTTTTAAACGAAACTCATCTTCACCAAAAGAAGACATCTAACATCTCAAACTTCACAAACAACCGTATCAAGATATTACAATCAAACTGTGGAGGCACAGCAATCTTCATTCACCACTCTATCACTCATTCTTCAACATATATCATTACTACCTCAATTGAAAATACCACTATTCTCATACAGTACAATGGACGCGAGATTAGACTTGGTGCTGTATATAAAAGCCCTGGCTCAACCATTCTTCACACGGACCTAGACTCCTTACACAACACAAACACATGTGTTATCGTAGAGGGAAACATAAACGCCAAACACCCAGTGTGGCACAGCAACACGACAAACACAGCTGGATTAAGTCTATTCAACCATATCCCGTAACCCCAACTCACTTCCCTGACAGCCATAACCATAGACCAGATGTTCTAGATGAAGCTCTAATGAGAATTGCAAACATGCAATTCGAAATAGAAAACCTGAATGAACTATCATCAGATCACAACTTTATACTACTAAATGTATACAACCAATCATTTCCTCAAACATTTAAAACAAAACAATGATAAATTAGAACAATTTCTCGGTCAACCTCCATGAATCTATAACTAACCCAAATCTACCTATCTGCATAACAACAGATCTAGACCAAGCTGCAATAGACATAGCTAAACTATTCAATTCAGCACTCTCGGGCAACTCCACCACTCGCATCTGCAACCCTCACAAGGACCTTCCTCAAGCCATCAAAATTGAAATTACCAAGAAGAAAAGACTAAGGCGAATTTGGCAACATACCCGAAATCCTGATGAAAAAAGCCGTCTGAATATACATACTAATGTGGTTCGTGAAATGCTTGGAAGAATGGAATAATCTACTAGACAACCTGAAACCAAACGACCCTAAATTATACAAAATTGCCATAAATCTAACACACAAGCAACCTCAACCAATCCTACCCTCCCCCCCCACAATACAGCCCAATCCTCCAAACGAAGTCAAATCCATCATAAAAACCCTTTCAAGGAGAAAAACACCAGGCCCAGATGGGATACCCAACACAGCCCTGCGACATGCATCCAACCGCACTATATTGCATCTCACTAAAATCTTTAACAGGTGCATACGTCTATCACACATTCCTAGTATATGGAAACATGCAAAAGTGGTCATGATTCCGAAGCCGGGGAATACCAAATCAGATCCAGCATCGGCCCATCTCGTTACTCAACACAACGACGATACTGTTCTAGATTCTAATACTAAAACGTCTCAAATCATACGTTGTCCCCTTCATTCGACCAGACTAATACGATTTTCGCCTAGAACATTCCACAACAATTCAATTAACCAAACTTGTCGACGATCTGGTATTCATCTTTAACAGGAAGGAAAGAACATCGGTGATCTTTCTAGACTTTGAGAAGGTGTTCGACATAAACAACGACATACTAACGAATTCCGGGATCAAAATCAACCTCTTCGCAGATGACACAATGTTTTTCTACTCCAGCATGAGTTTTTCATCAAGCAATGGAAAAAAATCCAATCTCAATTAAACAGATCGATATCTTGGTTGGAGAGAAGGAGGTATCGATCAACCCTAAGAAAACGGTCACAATACTGTGTGTCGACAAAACACCAAGAAACCTGAAAGAGCCCTTTAGCGGACAGGTTAAATACTTGGGAATAACCTTAGACTCATGACTAACGTTCCACAAACACGTCTTGGCCATCCAAAAAAAGACCAGGCAAATCAGGGCTGCACTTTACCAATTATTGAACTCTCGAAGTCACTTGTCACTCCATCAGAGATTAACTCTACACAAACTATACATCATACCAAACCTAACATACGCAGGACCAGCTTGTGGCGCTCTTACCTCAAAACGAGACTGGAGAGGTCTCGATGAGGTCCAAAACATATCATTAAGAACCATAACAGCGTCACCTTGGTATGTAAGAAACTCTACAATTAGGAATTCACCCGAAACCAGATCGTCAGGGCATCAAAGAACATGTTCGACAAGCGAAGATCTAAAATCAAAAGCACATCAGATCCACCGGTCGTTCCAAGGCCACCATAGAGTGGAAAAGGAAGAGACCTGAAAATCTAATGTAATTACTTTCCACCTCACCTTCTACTCCAAGGAATGGGTACACCCCGGAGCTTGTGCTAAATGGGAAATGTTCCCCTCATCCAAAGCAAGGCAAGGAGAGTCAGTCCTTCCAAAACATTTAACGTGTCAATACTCACAGCCATCGAGCCCAGTAACAGACACAGAAGACTCCGGACCACCAACGACGACCATATATATTGTATGCATTGTATCAAACGACGATTAATTCTCTGCGGGAGTTCGATACGCATCAACCAGCGATCAGTCTACGACCTAGTCGACACTCGGCCACCAAGAGTTGTATCAACCGATGATCGGTCTACGAGTTTGTCGCTCCACGACTAAATACTTATAACGACTGCGCCATCTCACGGCCACACAACACCGCATCGACCGACGACAGCTACCGGCTCCCCCGGCTATGTGACCATTGCGACTGGGACATATCGACGATCAATAAGCCTCAAACAAGACCAGCGACTCGTGTTACAAATCACCAACAGACCAAGACCGGATCCACAGCCAAGGATTGCCCATCAGCACGGGACATTGGACTGCCGATCAATGACGTAACAAAAATATCCCTTCTCAGAGCTACCACGTAAGGCACGACCCCCCAGCGCGCCTGCCTAGGCCACGCTCTACCGGTCGAGTCCCACGAGCGAACGCCACTTGCTTAAGCGGGCCAGACGTGTAAGACTCGATCCCGCCTATGAATCTTTATATAGGCTTATATATCATATTCCTGTTATTGTATGGGGCCTGAACCCTACTCCCCAAATCGTTGTATATACTTACATTCATTTACATAGAAATAAAGATATTAATTTTTAATCCCATCATAAATTGGAATTGAAACTTCCTTTACGATCGGCACGCTTATCACGTGTGCCTATTAGTGTGGATTATGTTTAACTTACTTTAACATTCTTTAAATCTTATATACCAACAATAATTAGCTTCTTGGCCTCCGCACTGCAACCCACTGCTCTGGTATCCTACCTTAGAGTATCGTGTATGACTATTTACTATGAGACAACATTGATCAATCGTATAAGAACATTTTAAATTATCACAAATTGATTCTGTAGTTCATAATATTTCTATTATTTAGGACGTATTTCAAAACATTTGTGTGTGAGTCACATTATATTACAAGTCAAAAACTAATATAGTTATATTATATTATTACCACGCATTACTGCCCATACATTACGTATACGAAAACAATGAAACCTAAAACGCTAAGGTCACAATTAATATGGTTAATATATAAAAGAATTTTTATATGAAACCATTCAAATGAAAATTATTTTCACGTGTTTTTCGTACAAAAACATTTTATTAAGTACGCTACTAGATCAATATTTTACCAGTTAAATTCATCAAATATCCATGAAAAATAAAATAAACGCATTAAAAAAAAAACATTGAGTACCTTAACCTATGGATAATTACTTTTAAATTTAAATTTGTCAGTGGTTTCTTATTATTGTTCCTTTTGGTTAGCGGCAAGAGGTACCTACCTACTCTAAACATAAGATATACAATATAAATATCCATAATATTATGATATTAATTATATGGATGTATATTATATTCCAATAAAAATTCTGATATTACTCAGAATAAAAATATTTGTATGTCGCAAAACGACACTATCAGTTATTATATAATTGTATTATAATTTATAGTACACTTATATTAAATATTTAAATGTACCTACACTTTGTTATTAATTAATATTAATAATTATGATCATAGGTACAAATAATAGAGGGGAGGAAGCAAACACTATATGCACTTATGATTATAATATAATTTTAATTCAAGTCTGATCACACCGGAGTGATATATCGTTTGTAGAACATCGTTTTTTTATTGTTCAACCATAGATAAATTATTACTTTGGAGTTCTCATCTTTACACTGATAAGGTAAAAGTTATAAACGATGGAGGACCAGCGGAGGAGCAATGCCAATAGCAGTCCCTCCTCGGCTTTCGATACCATTTAAAAAATAAAAAAAAGTAAGTATTCTCGATATTTTGAATCAAAAATTTCGTAACAAGTTTGGTTAACATCCAGATATATTGACCTTTAAGCACTCCACTTAGGTTTATCTTGTAACGAACTGATTGTATTATTATATCATAATTTTCGTCCTAGTAATTTCGAACGCTTACACGCGTCCTTTGGTTCGTGGGAAACAATTCACTTGCGGAACTCGATCGGCTTAAATCCACCAACAAACTACTCAGTGGCTGTAAAACACAATTCAGCAGGTATTTACTTGACATGTCGAATGTTTAATGCTGAAAAACGATAGAAAGCATCCAATAGGTCAGATATAATATAAGAATTTTATATATATACCTGTAACCTATAATAATTATAATAATAATAATAATGTATAAAAATGAATAAAACAGGCGTGATTCCAATAGTACAGTATAGATTTAAATACAATAAATAATAGGTAAGCACAGTAAATAATATATTCTATATAGAATAAAAACAAAAATTAATTTGTCATTTTCAGTATTATATTATATCATTTTTTATATAGATTATGTTTAATAATTCATTTAAAAATTAAAAGAAAAATCTGTTATTATAGATGTTTTAATGGTAAGTAACAAATTACATATTCACATGATAACACAAACAATTTCAAATAAATCATTTACCAACGTTGTTGACAGCGGTAACCGGTGACTTATATTTGGAAATAATGTTTTCCCTGACTTTTAGAAATGATTCCCAAAATGATCTTATTGCGTCTCCCAAGAACGTCCTGCAGGCATTATAAGGCTTACAAATCATATTACAAAAGAAGTTATGGCTGATACCATTTTTCGACGTCGTTGTTGATTGTTGGGCTGTAGTTGGTTTGGTAACAATGTTTACTGCCTATGAATAAAAACAAAGATACGTGCAATCATACATGATAGGTAATCACCAAGTAGTTTTAAGTATTTTTGAACACAATCATTGTAGTTGTTACTTTAATCAGAATTTGACTAAATGTTATTACTTATTAGGTAGCAGGTACCTTACCTACCTGCAATCAAATATAAATTATTACCATAATTTTTAAATTTTACAATTAAAATTTAAAGATTAAGTCCAATAACAATGCCACATAGCATAGATTGTACAGATACTAAACAACCAACCTCAAATACTCCAGGCATTGTTGAATAATACATATTTAGGAAGCCGCCCATTTGTTCTAAAATACACCAACGATATCAACGACTCGAAATACTTTACCCCCTAATCAATTTTCAAACCGTCTTAAGTTGTAAATGCTCCCTGTTTCTCTACAAACAAATTCTACGGCCCTCAGTACTCTGTGCTGTCCACTGCCCACCAGTCTGTCAACTCCCCCAAAACCCACACAAACAAAATTCAAGTTTTCCAGTCCAAAATACAACGTATAATATCAAATGCACCCTGCAGGTTCGTCAAACACGAAGCTTTTTACACACAAACTTCAAACTTCCCACAAATATTGTGTAAAAAATATTTTATTATTAGTATGTAAATGCAAGTAGTATCAGCTAGCAGTGTGGTTTTGTAAAATTTTAGTTGAACTGCACATAATATTATGGACACTGTTTTTCTTAGAAAAACATAGTTTTTTTTTTATCATTTATTAATTTATTAAGAGGATGTCATACATAAATGTGTGTTGTCTCCGTTTTACTAACGCAAAATAATATACTAAAATGTCCCTCCAGCAGTTCCAATTTTGTATTATCACCTTAAATATTAGAGTGAATGGATCTTTTATCAAACTTAAAATATGTAAGAACATTATCTTTGGTTTCTCGTTGGATCTTTAATTTTAATTTTTATATGAGTTATGAACATTTTCAAATATTAATATTTTACATACTTGTAACTCACTTTAACTCACATTTAAGTTTTATGATAGGTATATTATAATAGGCAAAATTTAAGCTAACAATTCAAGATTGGAACTTCTGGACGTAAATTTGGGTATATTATTATGAGGGTAACTATACATATTCTTCTGAATCAAAAATTAAAATTTGTCTTCAAATTCTTTTGAAAAATTTCAAAATATTCAATTTGTAAATCTGATTATCAAAACAATTTAGAGGGTAAAAATTATTTAAAATATTTATTATAATATTATACAAAATAATTATTAAATTTTAAATTTGATAAATTTTGTCAAAATTCGATCTTTAAATGCTTATAAAAAAAAATTGTGTATATAATAATAATAATGTATGTATATTATATTTAATATATACAGGTAATATTAATGTACACTTGTTATTCTTAGAAGTTGGAATACTAATTAAATTGATCGATAATATTATATTTGTATTAGTAATCATGAAACGTTTTATTATATTTTTGTTGTCATAATATTTAGTACATCACTTCTTTGGACAAAACTGGCACAACTGTTGGTGCTTCCACTTCTACCAAACCGGATAATGACGCGTATATTGGCATCAATAAATTAAAATCTCCATCGGTATTAATTTTATCAATAATTGAATAATGTCTCTCTGGTATAAATTATAATAATATATATATACAATATTAATATAATATTAGCGTGTCATTCTTATAATACCTACTAAGTATATTGATGGATAATATTATATTAGAAATCATGAAACGTTTTGTTTTAGAATTATTTTTTATCGCACATGGCACATTAGTCATTACAAATTGTACCTATGTATTTTTAATATTTTTCAACTGATATTGTAACAATATATCGGGAACTTTGTATTAAATTATTACACTTTTTGGCCCAACCGACAGATAAAACTTTATTGATATTTATAGAAAAAGAAATTAAAAAAATTGAAAACTGAAAATGTCCATAAACAGCTCAAAAAGACTAAAAATATTTTCAAAATTTAAGGTGTATAGAAAATTCTAATATAAAAATTCAGTGAAATTTGCATGTATCTACAGTTATTCGTTTTTGAATTACAACAAAATAAGGAAATTGTTACATCGAGAAATCGAGTGAATTTCCAATGTTGTAAAATTTTGAATTTCAAACGCTCATTGAAATTTAATTTGACATTCTTATAGACATTTTTTTTTTTTGATAAAGGTAGATAATCTTATAATTAATCTTGTATTACATTTTGAAACCTTAGATTTAAAAATAAAATTTTTACGAATTCTTAACTCAAAATAATTTGCTATTTTTTCGTGATTTTTCATATTTTGTCAATTTTTGAACTTTAAATGCTTATAAAAAAAAACTGTAACTAATTATTTTTAATATTTTTCATCTGCCTTTGAAACAATATACTAGGAGCCTTCTATTAAATTTTCAAGCTTTTTTAACCAACAAATACAATTTTATTGATATTTTTAGAAAAAAAATGGAATCTGAAAATATCCGTTAAGAGCTCAAAATAAGTCAAAATAATTGGAAAATGTTATGGTGTATAGAAAATGGTAATATAAACATTCAGTCAACATTTCATGTACCTACGATCATTTTTTAAGAGTTGCACCAAAAACCAAAATCGATTTTCTCGAAAACAGATTTTGTGTAAAAATTCCCGTTTTTCCTTAATTTTTCTTTCGTTTCTCACGGCGCTTTTGAAACTTACTGGGAATTTTAAATTTTGACCTCCCCAATGCACCAACTTCACTTTCTTATCGAACATGATACTGAAGTGGAAAATCGAAGCATTATTTCGACTACTTATAGCGTACACAGACACAAATAAAATAAAAGAATAAATAATAAAAAAAAAACACATCATTGTAAAATCAATACACTCATCGTTTCACTCTGCAGAATCTATAATGTATCATTGTGACAATAATGAAAATAATTTCTTAGTACATATGTAGTATAATATTTTCTGAAAATAATATAAAATAGGCATGTTTTTGAGCTAACAAAATATAATAATGGTAAAACGGTAATAACTGGGCACCGCCCCATAGGGCCATTTTTTAAATCAGACAGGGGCAATTCCCACCTTGTCCCCTCCCCTAAATAACGCCACTGTTGTAAAACTAATCAAGTATGATTTTTTTTTTGTATTGACGTGTTGGGTTGTAATATAATATTTATAGTATAACAAAAATATAAAAAAATTACCGGTGTAGGTTGTGCTGGTTTGGGATTGCCGGCATTGCTTGTAACATCTGACTCATTTGGTTTGGCTGGAGCGTCTGCAGAGGCTGAAAGGTCTGTAGGGGCTGCAGGGTCAGGGTCTGCACAATTTATAAGCTAATAAAATCAGAAACTGTAGTAATTTTATTTAGAAGATGAATAATTGGACTATAGTTCAAAATTTGTAAATGGAAATGATAGACAGATATTATATTATATAAACTACATATTTCCAACTTAATAATTTATATTAATCATATTATTTAAATTGTAGTATATTAAAATAAATGTAGGTAAAAAGTAATTTATTTTTTAAAATTAATTCACAATTCGATGCAATGTATCTATATATTAAAGACTCATCTCGATTGAGTTGTATTTTAATTCAATTGTCAAAAGAATGAAGGTAACAAATATGAAATAACACTGAAATATGTTACGTTAAATGAAAAATTAATGGGACTTACTTGAACCAAAAAACTAGTTACAAACAATGATGAAATAATCGCCTTATGTTTGGAAAACAACATTTTAACGGACCACCGTTGAAATTCAGTAAAGTTTAAAAACAATATAATATAGCTACACAATGTGTATTATTTTAATATTATTTATAACTGATCACTAAAATCGAAAAATTGCCGAATGAAATCTATACCAAATAAATTACCCTTGTATTAGATTTTGATTTTTTTTATCATGAGCACGTTCCTCGTTCCTAGGTATACACTAGAAACATATAATTAATATTATAAATAACTAGTTTTGTAATAATTTGTTACAACACCATGAACAATTAGTGTCGCAAAAATACAAATTCAAAACGGTGCTTAAAAAAATTACTAACAATATTTAGGTAAACATATAATTAAGCGTTTGAAACAAACAAATGTTATTGTTTTGATATTCATAAAAAAACATTAGTTAAATAGAGCACTAGAGCAGTTGTCGTTTCGTTTACCATGAGTATAAATAACGCACTTGCAATGAAAAATATTAAATATGTATAAAACAATATGTAATAGAGCTTAACTATTTTTTTGAATCTCTCGAAGTTTATTTAATATCATGAAATATAAATACTAAATACTAATAATAAACACGAGTTACGATGTACAGTAAAATACATCAGAGAAATAAATGGCCAATGAAAAAAAAAATGATAAATATACTATAGGCTCTGAATATTTTGATCGAGACTTCATATCCGCACTTTGAATTAATTATTAAGTATTTATCTTCACGTTGTCTTTTTGTACAAATAGGTATATACAGTGTAAAAACTAACAGGAATAAATGACAAATGGAATAACTATATTGTTCTAATTAATAATTTTTATTTTATATTTTATATACCATTTGCAAACGCTTGCGTCCAGTGACGGATCCAGGGGGGGCATATTTTTTTTAAGTATAAATATTATATATTAAATAACAAATAAACAAAATCTAAACTTCTTTTCACATTTTCACTTCTTTATATATTAAATAATCAATAATTTATTTATCACATTGATTACCTATAATAATAGGTACCTACTATTATGACAACATTTTTAGTAAAGTATAATATTTTACCTATAATTATTATAATAGTATTATATTATAATTGTATTTGTTGTTTAAGAAAAAATGTTTGCCCCCGCCCCCCAGATCTTTGCTCTGTATCCGTGCCTGCTTGCGTCACAAGTAGGTATAGTATCACATTTTTTAATGCTGAAAATTAAAAAAAATTAAATCTGCTATACATTTTTTTGAAAAATACAATTTTAGAAACATTTTGGCTGTTAAAACATTTATATAAGTCGTGCGTAGCTTTATATATGTTACAATTTTTTTAAAGTATAGTTGTTAAGTAAAGTTTAAATAGAAACTGCAATCAAAAGGTCAGTAGCGCTCTTAAATCAACATAGAAGAGATGTAACATCATAAGAATGGTTGAGCAAAATATCGATCGACCATCAATTGAGGAACTGGAGGTTGGGCTATAGAAATGCTGAAGAATGGGAAAGCACCTGGAGTAGATTATATAATACCGGAATGTCTCAAGGAGTTTTTACAATCAAAAGTCTTCTAAGGCCCAGATTTACAAATTGGGTGTGTACTTTGAAATTATAAAAAAATTTAATTAGATTTAAAATTTTTAATTTCAATATTAAAAAATATACATAAAAAATGGTAGGGTACGAGACAACAAATTGTATAGAAAAAAAAATATTTTTAAAATATTTATTAGAATAGAAGTTATTATAATAATATATAATAAATATATATGTGTGTCTTCTTGTTACATCCTGTACAAAAGTATAATATATAGAAGAACAAATATTGTTGGTCGGTGTACAATATTATCACCTGCGTTTCAACAGCAGTTGGTTTTTATTTGCATTTTGTAATTTTTTGAAAGACGAAACACCGATATCCGATCAAATAGGGCGATACTGATTGGAAAATTTTCGGCGATTACTTATTTAGATTCATTTCTTCTATCTGTTTCGATATTAGAATGATTAACAGTTAACACATATCATTGTAAAGTTCACTTAAATACGTGTCGCTACTCATCCAGTCAGTTAATATTATTTTTTAAATTAAAAAAAATAATAATATAATGCCCATCTTTGCTCAGGAATGTTTTTAGTATGCGATGATTTATTATTGAATTCAAATTTGACATATTATTATACATTTTAGTGACTTACTCAAATACTTTGGTACACTAGAATCATTGACACGTCATACGACTGTTACTATATAGGTACTTACTATAATATAGCAGTTTGGTTACCACTACTTCTCCCCTTGGTTTTATAAAACTGTTCTGTGAATAAACATTTATTATACATTCTTAAATAGTTTAATTGCGAAACTATAAAGAGTAAAAATGAACGAAAGATATTTTGTGCCACGTCGATTTCCCTCTACTTAGTATTTACAAATTGACATACAACAATTAATATGGATAGGAAAATATTCCTCTACGAGGTTTCTGGAAACGTGTCGATCTACTGAGATAGGCGTAAGGAACAAGATACTTAAAATATTATCTTTTGTTTTTATTCAATTACAAATATATAATAGTTTATTAATACTAATAAATCACTACAACATGATAATAGGTAATAATATTATAAATTTATAAATATTTTCAAAACTGATATTCATTAGCAGCAAGCTGCTGTTCCATTTTGAAAGGGCTTGGATGTTGTCTGTGGATTAAAATAATTTCACGGCGGTTTTCAGTGAACTCGACAATGCCCCTTGTATAGGCCCCCAAAATATACTAACGGGCTTTGTGATTAAATTACAGAAACGGGAAGTCATTGACTTTTTTTCTGGAATCTCTTCTGTCATCATTGCCTCTTCTTCCTGTTGGAATAAAATATAAAAGTAAAATAATAACATTATGCTTTTAAAAATCATTTACAAAATTGAATGTTTTTTAATGTGCCATGTGCGATAAAAAATAATTCTAAAACAAAACGTTTCATGATTTCTAATATAATACTATCCATCAATATAATTAGTAGGTATTATAAGAATAACACGCTAATATTATATTAATATTGTATATATATTATTATAATTTATACCAGAGAGACATTATTCAATTATTGATAAAATTAATACCGATGGAGATTCTGATTTATTGATGCCAATATACGCGTCCTTATCCGGTTTGGTAGAAGTGGAAGCACCAACAGTTGTGCCAGTTTTGTCCAAAGAAGTGATGTACTAAATATTATGACGACAAAAATATAATTAAACGTTTCATGATTACTAATATAAATATAATATTATCGATCAATTTAATTAGTATTCTAACTTCTAAGAATAACAAGTGTACATTAATATTAGGTACCTGTTACCTGTATATATATTAAATATAATATACATACATTATTATTATTATATACACAATTTTTTTTTATAAGCATTTAAAGATCGAATTTTGACAAAATTTAATAATTATTTTGTGGTTAAAAATGTATAAAATGTTCAACTTTTATACCTAAGGATTGAAAATTTAAAACAAGATTCCACGTAAGTATTTAATTCTGTTACCAAAAAGTACATAAGCACAGTTTATTTTTATAGTCATTTTAAGTTCAACTTTAGACGAAATTACATACAAAAACCTAGAATAACTATTTTAGTTATTTTGTTGTGATTGTATAGTATTATTTGTGGGTACTTGAAACTTGTAAAGTACACTATTATATATCTATGGAGTATGGACTATGATAGTATCAGGGTTTGTTGTTGATGTATAACGCGTTATAAGTACCTACCTAATGGATATTGTGATATGATTAATTTGGAATTTATTATAGGTACCTATTATAGGTCAGATTTTTTTAATACCATAGATAAATATTTAATATGTCTTATACCTACCTAGACTGACATACCGTCTTCGCTCAGAATCGTTTTTCTTATACAATGATATTAGGTATATCATTGAATTCAAATTTAAAACCATCCATTTTACAGTGACCCACTTGTAACCTACTGTACAGCAGAGCAGCTTTTTTTTATTAAAAATTTTAGCTTCGTCAACAGGAGCCATTAGGTTTTTATTATAATTTATAACAGAGATACATTATTGATTGAAATATTACCGATGGAGATTCTGATTTATTGATGCCAATATAAGCGTCCTTATTAGGTTTGGTAGCACCAACAGTTGTGCCACTTTTGTCCAAACATGTGATGTACTAAACATGAAAAGAAAAATAAATCATAATAAACAATTACATGGAATAACATGAAGGATTGTGAGCCAGTAGCGACCAAGGTAACATTTTTATCGTGCTATGCATTCTTATTTCTTACCTCAACATTGCTGTTTGATAATGGACGCTGTATTATAGTATTGCATTTTCATAAATTAAACATAGCCTTTATACCATAGTTTTGCTGTAGGATATTATGAAGAGATAAGCCCCACATTATGACATAATTCGGACAATAATGTTCTTTATACTTAAGCACATTTAAGTACCTATTATGTCAATATACATATTTAACATTAACTGCGTATAAGTATCCTACATAGTTACGTCATATCAGTTTTTATTGGACTAGGGCAACTTTTCACTGCTTTTCCGACTCAAAATTTTTTTCACTCAGATTAATCATAGCATAGTACCATAGTGGTTAAAGGAGGGGGAGGAGGTGTTGGTAAATATTCCGACTTAAGGTTGATGTAAATATTAGACTGGGGCAAATGCCACAGTTGCCACACCCCAAATGACGCCACTGCCTACATAGTCAATATTGTGTTTATTAAAAAATAAAAAACCCAGTAAAAAAAAATAATTGTGATAAAAAAGATTAATACAAATAATTTATAATATTATTGACATATGTACTATGTAGGTATTAAAACAATGTAGTAAGAGTTTCTTGCATACTTATGATATTTACAAAACAGTATAAAATAGTATACATATTAATTCGATTACTATAGGTGCATTCTAAATAATGTAAAAAGTGGGTAATATTCAATATTAATATTACTTATTACCTAATCATTAGTAATCGTTGGTTTATATATATTTTTTTTTTTTTGAAATTTACTGTTAATTTTATCTTAGAATTTAAACCAGTCAAACTTACTTGAACTACAGATAACACAATCGCTGATATAAAAATCCGTGTTGAAATCATTGTAAATTTATTTAATGTAGGTAGCCTGTAGGAAGTATACAAATGTTAGCTAAATCTACAACTGACAGCAAAGGGCGACCAGTCTATAGGATTACAACGTATTTATGAAACTGTTTGATACTACGATGAGTAATGTCAATTTATTACATTCCATAAAAATGGCATAGAGCTAAGGGATTCGTGTTAGGTTAATCACAATTATATTTATTATCGTTAAAAAAATGTAAATTTCAAAAAAGTTATTTTATAAATATTTTTTTAATTTATTATTCTATTCAATATAGGTATTGTTATCATTATTATAATACTCTCCTATTTTATACGGTATGATACAAGTTCTAAAAAATATGTTTTAAAAACATTTAAAATTGTTCATTATGTAACTGAGATAGGTATATGTATAATTATATAAATTACGTATATTCAACTACTTTGTTCGTTTTGCAATCAACGATAATTGTATATTTATCATCGATAATACATTGAATAGAACACAATATAGTTTAAATAAAAACACATTTTCGGCACCAATACTTTATAGAACAAAAATTGAACTGACAATTAACTATTTACTTATTTTTCATGCGATGGTGATCATAACCTCGGCTCTGCAATCAATGACAGGTAAGCAGTTTTCGGATTAGATAAGTATTTTTTTATCTGGATAAAGATAAAGATAATGCAACTCAAATGTATCTAGATAGATATAAAAGATAACTTAACTCATATTTATCTAGATAAAGATAAAGATAAATACTTTTTATCTAGATAAAAAAATGATACAATTATTTTTTAAATGGTTTTAAATTTTGGTATATTTTAGTTGGGCACTATAGGAACATAATAATAATAATAATGATATAAATAAAAATAATTACATTATTTATAAACTATAAACTTTGTTTGAGAATCTTTATAAATATTTAAAAAAATTGTACAATTTCGCGATTTTTATCAATAAAAATGTATCTAGATGAATTTATTTAGATTAGTAAAAAAAATATCTAAGATGAACGTATAGATACCTTGTAACTATTTATCTAGATAATATAAAATATGAACAAATAATTATCTAGATATTCATCTAGATAAATCAGAACACTTGCAAGTAAGTAATAAAAACGTCAATAGTAAACTATCCTCCAATGTTCATAAATTTGATAGCTGGGACAGGATTTTTCTAAATCAGATAGCTAGTAGCTGCATATCATACACATTATAACATTATCCGCATTATAGTATAAAGTATAATATACAAGCACTTTAATGACCTGTCTACCACATCTTTAATCACCACCACAGGTTATATGAAAACAGATTGTGCACTTAGAATTTAGATGTAACCACTATTTAAGATATACTTAAATACCTATATCTTAAACCATGGATATATCCAAAAACTGGCTGATATTAGGTATTTATTCCGAAGTCAGTGTGACCATGTCAACCATAGACTTAAAGCAGGGCTTAGGGCCGTTCTTACGACGTCCGGTTAAAGTTAACCGACACTTAACCGGAAGAATTCTGCCGGTAATAAAATCTGTTATCAGTCGGTTAGCGTTAACCGACACTTTACCGGACATTGTAAGAACGGCCCTTAGACACTGTGTGTTATGGTCAAATCGGGTGATTGTGGCTTTGAAGACGGTCTCCGGGGGGCGTGGTGTACCACATCAATTAAATATTTAATATCAATATAATAAATTATTTGGAAAATTTCAAAAAACAATATTATAATATTTAATTCATATTTCATAGCAAAATGTTATACTGAAACTGACAATATCATGCAAAAAAACTTTGAATAAATTAAAACGGTCGTCGTCCGTGGTCAATGGATTGTTTCCGTTTTTTATAATGTCGTAACAAATAGGGATACACGTTACAAACATCTTATCAGATTAAAGATACGGTACAATTGTTAGAGTCCAATACTTCATACCGTAGGGATACACAATCCCGGCCAGCTGTTCGAGTGTCGCTTCTATAATCTATATTGTTCTGTGCTTATAGAAATAGACAGAACATTTGTCCCGAGAACTGGGAGGCATGTCATGCCAAACGGATTAAGAGAGATAGCATAAGTTTTATCATAAGAGTGAGAGAAATTGCACTGTTCCGAGGACAGGCAATGCATAGCTTTAATAGCGACCGATCCTCGTAACAAGCTCTAAGCCCTTGCACGCGTTATCATACCTTATGTTCCGTCTATTTCTATAAGTCTATGATATAAACGGATTAAAAATATTTAATGTTAATCATATAATCTAGTGATTCTCATTGGTCGGTCGACCGCTACGCAACAAATTTATAGAGGATAACAGATGATAAATTAGCGTTAGGAATAATTAATTACTAAAGTAATATCTAATATCAAAGTGTTGGCTTATGTGATCACACTGATTTTGGTGGAAACCACGATTTAAGATATACAGGATGCACATCGACTACTGATAAGGTGAAATACGAAATGACTACCAATAATTAACCAGTGGCGCTCCAAGCGGCAGTATTACAATTAACCGATTATAGATATATAGGTGTAAAATTTATTGTAAATGTCGACACATAATTATTATACTGCGCTTTATAGCCAACATGTATACGTTAAATAGTGTTAACTGTTAACTATACCAAATATGTTGGTTCTTAAAAGGTAAAAATATCAAATATCAAAAAGAGTAAGACAATGTCAGAATTTCCACTTAAATATTATATCCATGACATGATTTTTTTATCCTCACATTTTTCTTTAAACGTTAACAGTTGTTTCCATTGTTTATTGTATTTATTAATATAATGTACAGTATAAAAATAAAGTTACAAAGTAAAATTAATTTTATTAAGAGTGCGTAGCTTAATAAATGGCCATCATGAAGCTATTGTCTATGTGATTTTTTGTAACGAAGTGAACAATTTATAATCACAAAGAAAATATAATATTTTTTTTTTTAATAAAAGAAAACAATTCTAATATAGTTGTAAAATAATTGAAACTGGAATAATAATTATTTTAAATCACGTCATCTATGTCGTTATTAATTTGTCTCAATCTTCGTTCCGCGTTTGTTTTGTGAAGATATTTTATTACGATAATAGTCCTTGATTGCATTAAACGATTTTCTTAAGGGCCAAAAAAATAAACCAATGGATTTAGTCACCACATGACGAATTCTGGTTGGAACTGATTTTTTCACTGGCTCTGATTGATTCAATTCTTCTTCGACCTGTATAGATAACCAAACACTAGAATTTATGGTCATTACAAATTAATTATTTGTCGTTCAATGGACTTTAAATGATGTGCAATGAATAATAATCCTGAAAAATCGCATAGTAAGTTCTTCACTAAATTTAGAATCTTAAAGGTTAGGTTAAATTTATACATTTATTCCAGTTTATAAAACTAAGATTGGTTAAATTTTGAAAGTCTGTTCTGAAATCAATATTATGGAGTTTATAATTATTAATTAAGAATAATGTAGTAAAACTATAATTTACTTTATTCAAACAAATTAAATACCGTGGTTGGATCTTCTGGTTTATTATCTACAACAGCAAATTGTTTCATATTTGGTTTCGTTGCACCGCCAGTTGCAGTAGCTGGACAGATTATAAACTATAAAAATATTATACAAAACAAATATCCGTTATAACTACAATAGATTGACATTGTATACATTAAATACATCAACAAATTTAATTATTTTACTTATATGGTTTGCACATTATTGATTTGGGTTTTAGGTGCTGAATGGATTATGATGTTCAAACATCTGGATAAAACAAACATTTGAGTGCTGATAACCCATAATTATTTTAGTATAAGAGTTAATACGGGTTTTAAGTAGTCCCGGTAAAGTTTTATTTTGATAACAATGAATGTACCTATACTTAATTAATTAATACTATTATTCATATAATATTATAATATCTACTCCAGAAATAGTATTTGATTTACCTAACTATAACTATAATTAATAATTATTCTGATTATAAAATGTCCATTTATATAGTTGTCAAATTTAAAAACAGTTTATTTTACTTGAAAGTTATAACATATCATAATATGATATTGTATAGTATGCCTACAATAATAATTATTAAAAAACTAAAACTAAAAAATTTAATTAAAACAAGAAATAAATACAAAAATATATTTCATATGAAATTGTTATTATGAAAAATTATAGGTTTTCTAGTTAACCAAAATGTTTTATGGTTGATTTTGTGTTATGATTATTTTTGGGAGTTCAAATTTTTAAGGTTCTTACGGGATCTGATTCATTTAAATGCAATCTTCTGAAAGAGAAATACATCAGTGAGAATTATCAAAGAAAATGTATTTCATATAATATTCCGATGAACACAAGAAGATTTTGCTGTGTAAATAATTAAAATAAACTTATTATTAGCGAAAAATAATTAGTAGATTATCGCAGCATTTCTGTATTATTATTTTTCATAATGATTACAATTAGTGAAACTTACATGGACTGAAGAAATAAATACAACCGTAAAAATCAAAATTTGTGTGGCAATCATTTTCACAGCGTCTTTTAAAATTCACTATTAAAACTTAAGCTAAGTACGAGAGAGAAAAAAATTAGGAGAGAAAATCAAAATATCAACAGTTAAATGTATTAATCAATTACTGATTAATGACTATAAGGTAGGTAACACAACGTTATGATGTTATATTTTTTTTTTACCATGAGTGTGAATTCTCCGTGCACAAACATGTTTACATACATAATTATACTCAACCCACATGTGCGCCAAAATAACAAATTTTTCATAATACTATAAATACTTGTAGTTAAAAAAAATATAACTTTTAAACGATGTCATTTTTTTTTTTGCATGAAACGTATGTATACTGCCAATATTATAACCGTTTTAGCGTGAGTTATCGATCTAGAAAATATTATTTCGTATTATGTTCACCATTTAGATAAATTATTTTACACACAGTTATTTCTAAGGCACTACTAGACCATGTGGATATATTCAATTTCAATAAGAAATGTATGTAACTATAATTATGATGGTAAAAAATAATATTCATTTGTGTGGAGGATTTGTGTTCAGATCACCTTACTCTCCCCCTCATTGCGGCTGACCTGAATACGAATATATTACTGTGTACTGCTATTGCATCTCATAGTATAACGTGTTAAAAATATGCCGAAAAACTAAAATAATATATTATTATATATTTTTCCTTAAACTCCGATCTGTTGTAGCGGAACCGTTATGGTTTCATTTGGCCCGGGAATCTTCCCATCTGTCCAATATTTATGTCTGGTGATTCTACAGATGTCACAAATTATCGTCTAATAACAATTCTGCCTCATTTATCTAAACTATTTGAAACTCGCATCCTCAATTCAATTCGTCCTTCATTAAATTACATTCTAGCTGATAAACAGCATGGCTTCCGTCCTGGAAGATCAACTGTTACTTGTAACCTTATTAGTAATAAGTTATTACCTTTCCATTATACATATTCGACTATTTTCATGATAACTGCCAAGTAGATGCAATCTATATCGATTTTTCAAAGGCATTCGACAGTGTTGTCCATATTAATCTTATATCAACTTATCTCCGTGAACCTCTACTTTCCTGGCTTCACTCATACATTATACAAAGGACCCAATGGGTAAATATTGCTTCGACCTCTTCAGGCTATTTCACTCCATCCTCAGGTGTACCACAAGGTGCATTTTTACCATTACTTCTGTTTGCCTTATACGTAAACTCAGCCCCTTCACTTCTCCACCACGCCAAACTGCTTATCTTTGCCGATGTTATGAAAATCTTCTACCCTAGAAAATCCATCTCTGACTGTCATATTCTCCAAAACGATCTCCAGCGCTTTATGAAATGGGGGGAAACTTTGGGTCTCACTCTTAATATTTCCAAATGTTCAGTAATGACCTTTTGTCGTAATAAAGTTTGAATCAATTACACTTACTCCGTCAGTAATATCATTTTAAAGTTTTCTAATAACTCAATAAAAGATTTAGGATTTACTCTTACACGAAATATATGTCCCAATATGCATATCCAGACTATCTGCTGTAAGGCTATGAAGCGTTTTCATATCTCTGCCGATTTTCATTTACTCACTCCATTAAACACTATTTTTTGTTCTTTAGTAGGTCCAATCCTTGAGTATGGCTCCATACTCTGGGACCCATCCACTACTCCTGCTCTTATCTTTCCTATATAATCTCCTATCCTCTATAACTGACTGCCCAGAACTGCTATCTGGTATTTCTTTTAATGTTACGTCCCGTCGTTCAAGATCTTTTGTTCCATTCCATATTCCATTCTCATCCTCAAACTACTATCTCAACACTCCGATTATTCACCTTATGCTCATCGCCAATAACAACCCCTCTTTTCCCTTTAATATTTGAGCCAAGTTTCTTTATTTCATTTTATTTGTATTTGCTTTTACTATTGTATTTTCTATCATTACTTAAATTACATTACATTAAGTGATTGTTATATTTTTACTTATTAATAAGTTATTGTAAATATCTTTATATACTTCATATTGCTTTGGGCCACGGCCTGTATAATTAAATAAATAAATATACTAAATAATTATGGGTGTAAATAATGGGGACGTTATTATCAAAACACTCAAAATCAGTCGTGGATGCTATCACATGATGCATATTAATATATTATCCAACGGACGGAAAAACATACGTAACAGATAGTACCTTGTTAGCATTGGTACAATAGTAATTTGTAAATATAAGAAAGATCTATGCCTATTGCCTATATATATTTTCTGAGGATTACTTTCAAAACAACATTAATTTTTTTATATCAGCCGAAGTCTTTTTAGTTTTAACGACCATGATCTTTACCAACAATACATTTTAAAAATGTACATAAATATTTTTGGTAGATGTATATAGAATATGTTTTTATAATCACTCTTAGTGGATAGGCCCTGGTCATCTTAGTATTTTATTTTATACTAAGTCATATGGTCTTGGCGTTTGAGGTGCCTTATGCCATGAGAGTTATCGAGTAATAATGTTGATTTTGCAGATTTTCTGACTTTAGCCAGTCAGAAATATCGTTGCAGTTTACTAATTGCACTCATAACTACCTTTTCATATACCAATTTCTCTATAAAAATGTTAGTGTCAATAGACCAAAATATACTCTCTATAGGTACATTTTAGGGTCGATAGACCAATTGCGCTCAATACATTTTACAATACCTAAAGAAAACTTATGAGTTAGTTATAATTATCTAATAAATTTATACACTAACCGATTTTGTTGCAAGTATTAATGCAAATACCTACATAATATAATATAAATAAATAAATAAATAAATAATTTTCTGTTCACATCAATTAACAAGTTACTTTTTGATTGTCAATTATTCAAAATTAAAGTTATACAAGTCTTACAACTTGTATTCACTTGCCGAGATCGGGTAAATTGATCGGTTACCAATAAACTTTTATTTTGTTATCATTATTGGAATATTCAAGTGTGATACTCGCAGATTCCCTAATTACAGATCTAAAACTTATAATCAAACATAAAGATAAATCCGTTATCGTTCTTAATAGGTAGAGTAGTTTTTCATTGTGTGACATTATAACGTTAAAGACGTACATTTCGCCAGCCACCCCAAATTAAATTTTTTAAATTTTTTTTTTACCAAACATTAGTGTGCCATTAGTGTGAATTGATGTGACTACAACCAGAATTTGTGCGACACCCGTTGTACTCGGAAAATTCGTTTTTCCTTTTTTGGCATTTCCCCAGCCCCCCCCTCATGGAAAAATCACATTTATAAAATTTTTCTTTTGCCAAACATTAGTGTGCCATTAGTGTGAATTTGTGCGACTACAACCAGAATTTGTGCGATACCCGTTGTACTCGGAAAAGTCGTTTTTCCTTTTTTGGCATTTCCCCAGATTCCCCTCATGGAAAAAATTACAGTTTTTCAATATTTTGTTTGCCCCCATACATTTTTGCTCCGTCTTCCAGGTAAGTCGAAATATTCAATTTTAACATTGGATCAAAATCAAACATTTTCATATTTAGTAATCACCAATATTACTTGCATGCTTGTTTAGGTTAGGTATACCACATTATTGTACTTTCGGCATAATTTTAAATATGATTTTTTTCCTTTTTTTTTTTACAAATCGTTGTGGTAGGTCTTATTAAATTTAAATATGTTTATGTAGAAACTATAGACAACACAATATTATATCAATGAATCAAAATAAGGTTTCTAAAATTATGTACCTATGTCCTATGTAATTAATCGTTTTAATTTAAGCTAAATTAATTTTGTTATTTATAATAAAATAACGATTTCATAAATACTTCCTTGATACTTAGTTCAAATGTTTTAGTTGATTGATGAAATGTATCTAATTTTGTCAGTGAAGTAGCAGAACACTATTTTCTAGTTGTATTTTCTTTTGTTAATTAATTGATTATCTATATTTAAAATTATTAACAAGATTTTTTTTTATTAAATAGACCGTACTATTTTTATTGAATCCATAATGATAAATTATATAATTACTGATACAGTGAAATTAGTTGGTAACTTAACTACTTACGTGTGAGTACAATAATTGCAGTGCATCTATGTATAATACTATAATGAATGGATAGAAAATTCAACATTACAATAAAAGATGAGTATAAATATGAAATTTATCATGTATATTGTTGTGTTATTAAATTTGGCAACTTTGTACAATGGTGACATCGTTTTTTGTATTTATTACGCGCAAGATAAACCAATAAGGTTCGCGCACAATCGTATTCTACCCGCCGCGCTTACACCACATGGTTGAATCACTTTTCTAAAAATTACTAATTAGATATACAGTACCTATGTCCTGTGGTCACTGAAAAAAGAAAAATTTAAAAAATGTGATTTTTTCCATGAGGGGGGGCTGGGGAAATGCCAAAAAAGTAAAAACGACTTTTCCGAGTACAACGGGTGTCGCACAAATTCTGGTTGTAGTCGCACAAATTCACACTAATGGCGCACTAATGTTTGGTAAAAGAAAAATTGTATAAATATGATTTTTTCCATGAGGGGGGGCTGGGGAAATGCCAAAAAAGGAAAAACGAATTTTCCGAGTACAACGGGTGTCGCACAAATTCTGGTCGTAGTCGCACAAATTCACACTAATGGCGCACTAATGTTTGGCAAAAGAAAAATTTAAAAAATGTGATTTTTTCCATGAGGGGGGGCTGGGGAACATTTCTCCAGCCCCCCATATAATTTTGTTAATTTACGGTTAAACCAGTATCGCACAAATTCTGGTTGTAGTCACACAAATTCACACTAATGGCACACTAATGTTTGGTAAAAAAAAAATTTCAAAAATTTAATTTGGGGGGGCTGGTGAAATGTACGTATATTATAGGACATTATTGTGATAAATTTCAACGCCCAAACCTCGGTAACATTGAATTTGTTGTTGTCTTTTTCTTTATTTTATTAATCATACACCCGCAATGGGCACGGTATTGTTATCAATAAAAACAAATCGTTACATGAGAAACGTAAAATTACATTTTAATTCACACCTTAATTCATTCCTCAACTACAATATACTAAGTATTATTATTTGTTGTTATTTTCATCTACATTCTGTCCTCTATATTCTGATGCTGCAGGTTTTGTTGTATCTTTTTTATTTTTATTCTATCCTCTGTAATTGAAGTTCTTAAATTTTCGCCATAAGGATCGTATCGCCGAAAATATCGATTTTATAGGCTTAATAATGAATTTATGACGTAGGCTTGTCGGTTTTTCTGGTATCTTCGGGGTATCTTCGTCCGGGTTTATTCCTACTTCCTGTTGGTAAGAAAATAACTTTAAAAATATGTAAACCGTTAAAATATAAAATGTAAAATGTGTAGACAATTAGATACATTGTTTTGCTATGCAAAATTAATATTTGAGTTTATAAATAGATACGTCATATTTTATATTTTAATTCTAAATTAATACAATATGACCTGTATTATTTAACATCGAGGATTCAAAAACAAAAAGTATAGCTATGTGTACAATTAGTTAACAAACCAAATAACTTTAAAAATTTGTAACACAATAACTCGTAACTCCGATAAATTTGAATATTTTTAAATATTATTGAAAACAACGTATGTAAAATTAAATATGACATATTTAAGTATCATCAGAGATATTACTTCTCAAATATGGTAGTTATCTGGTAAATAGTACAATATTCATGAATACAGTGAACATATTTTAGTCTTTAGATACAAAATGCGTTTGGGTAAAAATTAAATTATATTTTCAAACTTAAGATTTGACCAATTCGCAGTGTGAATATAACTGCATTGCAAATTGCAATGTTACAAAATAATAAGATTTATTTATTTATAAAAAATGTGCGTATTATAAATAAGTATAAATATTGTAAAACTATATTTTTGTATACCTTTATTTATTAAAAACAAGTTAGGAATTTCTGGTTTCTTAATAAAACGAAATAAATTATAATTCCATAAACAATTATAAAGTAACTTATTGTACAGAAATTACAGACAATAAAAAAATAAAAAAAGGCAGGTAAGTGGATGTCGCTCAGCTGTACAGTAGGTTACAAGTTGGTCATTGTTTAATATATTGTATTAAACTTGAATTCAATGATATAATATCATTGTATAAGAAAAACGATTCTGAACGGAGACGGTTTGTCAGTCTGTATATTTTATATTGTCATTAATTATTATAACATGTAAGTTGTTTTAATACCTACTATAAACTACAACAAAATATTAAAATCGTTATTCCTGAGATTAATTTTATACTATTTCCTACCATGAACCTAATCACCCGCGGTTCTATGATAAGTCGGTACTGACTCATAAGTTAATGATACATGTTAATAATTTATGATATTTATATAGATAATACCTACCTATTTTTTTTTTATTCGTTGCTACGGTGATAAACAAATTTTTAGAAATTAAAATCCCATTTTAAGCGGTTTTTCGTAATTTTTCAGTACTTTTTCCCGTGGCATTAAATAACTATTGAGAAAATCGAAAAATGACCTCTCTAAAGTACCATCTTGGTCCAATTTGCTAAAAGATAAGGTACTATATGTTGAAATCAAAGCACTCCTTCTGGTAGAAATTTTGTATACAGGATATAAAAAAATAAAAAAAATAAAAAAATAAACACCATTCGCTCAGAATCTAAAACAACAATATATTATTATATTAATAATCGTAACTATGTACTGGCAATAAATAAATAAAAATAAAAAATTATAACTATGTACACTGTACAGGTTACTAATGGACGGACGAACACAACGAGAATAATATAAGGTATTCTAAACATGTTTAGAAATCTATAAAACTATATTTTAACACTTATTTAATATTATTTATTATCTAGTTATCGTAGTACATATTACCTTAACAATGTTATAATATTATTTGAAACATACATAATATTATTTCTATTAAATTGTATAAATATTATATAAAACATTTACTTTCGGTTCTTTTATCAAAACAAATTTGACCAGAACAAAACCACTTACTACATCCATCTATTAAATTATGTAATTGTGAATTATTATTTTTTTACAAAATTAAATTCTGTTTATTTAATATAATAATATTACCGTCGGGTCAGTGGCTGTAGTTGCAGATTTAGATTTAGCTGGCCCTTTCGGCTTAAAACCAGTTTTAGTTACAGCTGGGTCATTTGGTTTAGTTTCAGTGGACGTCTGACAAGTTACAACCTAAACATTTTCATTAAAAGTAAATCATTAATACCATTTTTATTTTTTTAATAAAGTATACCTGAGTCGCAGTGCCGCTCTAACCACCAATAACGCCCTAGGGCAACAATATTTGACGCCCCTCACCCTCCCACCAAAAAATCTCGACTTCGCATTTTTAGCTTATAATTAACCACATACCTTAAATATGTTTAATACTTATTAATTAAAGGTTCCTACTTATTTTTTTAAATATTATTATTGGGATCATATTTATTTTGTTTATATTTGAACACCGATTTCATTATTCTGGGAACACTCGTACATTACAGAAAGAAAATATATATAACTATTTTCACAAATTAGTACCTTTTTTTTTTTTTTTTTTTTTCATTATAAATCATACATTCTGCGTTTCTGCGTGTGTAATAACAGTGTAGTATAACAATCAACATTGTAAATATTGCACAAGTGAATATAAGTGATTATAAAATTCAAAGGTGGGCATTAACTAGTTGAAAAGTTAAAGTTCAGTTAAAAAGTTAATTTTTTTTTTAACTTTTTAACTTAACTAGTTAGTTTATTTTCTAATCAACTTATGAACTTAAACAGTTTAATTTACAATTGAAATAACTTAGCTTTTCTCAGTTGATTTAAAAAAATCCATTAAGTTAAAACATTTTGAAATTGTTCGTTTATACTTAAATATTATGGATTTCGAACGCTCATAAAAATTTAATTTGACTTTCTTATAGACATTTTTTTTGTTGATAAAGGTAGATAATCTTATAAGAAATCTTGTATTACATTTTCAAATCTTAGATTTAAAAAGAAAAATTTTTACGAATTCTTAACTCAAAATAATTTGCTAATTTTCCATATTGATTTTTCCATATTTTGTCAATTTTTGAATATTAAATGCTTATAAAAATAATTGTGACTAAGGATTTTTAATATTTTTCATTTGCCTTTGAAACAATATACTAATAGCCCTCTATTTAATTTTCAAGCTTTTTTAACCAACAAATACAATTTTATTGATATTTTAAAAAAAAAAACTAAAAAAAAATGGAAAATGAAAATGTCCCTAAACAGTTCAAAATTAATCAAAATATTTTGAAAATGTTATCGTGTATACAAAATGTAAATATAAACAACCAGTGAAAATTTCTTGTATATACGTTCATTTCTTTTAGAGTTACACCAAAAATCAAAATCGATTTTTTGGAAAACAGATTTTGCGTAAAAATTCCCGTTTTTCCTTAATTTTTATGTTGTTTTTCCCGGTGCTTGTGAAAACTACTGGGAAATTTTGACCCCCCTCCCACCCCCAAAGTACCAACTAGATTCACTTTCCTATCAGAAAAGATACTGTTGAAGAAAATCCAAGCACTTTTACTGTCCTAAAACGTGATGACAGACACAAAAATAAAAAAAGGTACTACTAGGTACCAAAGATATGAATTAGTCTAGTTTATAAGTATATTACAATATAGTATACAGTATATTACTTAATTATTGTAATGATATGTATATACATATTTAAAATATATTTCATGTGCTTAAATAAATTACTATTGTAATCTTAATAATCTTATAAATTATAAGTATTAATATTTTTATTTGTTTTTATGAATATTCAATATATTATTATTGAAGTTATGTCGCATTAAGATTTAACACATTATTTACAAAATTGTATACCTACTTAATAGTATACAATTTGATAGATACTCATCTTTGATATTACAGTATAAACAAAAAAATAATACCTAAAATAAGAACACCAAATTTTTCTTTTTATCATCCATTTCTAGTACGCCCCCTAAATTCATATACTTTAGACGCCCTAGGGCACTTGCCCCATTTGCCCCCCCTTGGGACGGCTATGCCTGAGTGTGAATTTAGCTGGGGTAAGTATCAGATTGATATGATAGTGTCGTATATATAATATACGAATGAAAATAATTACCACATGTTGATGTTTATCCTGGAATTGTATCATAAAATACTCAATGATGAGCAAATATAAGTATTTAGCCGACTATACACCGCTCTCGGAAGTTCATTTGGAACTAGAAATAAGACTTTATCAACATACACATATTTTAGTACTTACACTTGTTCTAGAATTATAGTATTTAATAGGCGTATAGCTCAAATTTAGATTTCAAATTCAGAAACTTAGGAAATTAAGTTTCGCAAGACGATTTCAAAGTTAAAGTTAAGTTATTTTTGACCTAGTTACTTAACGAGTTAGTTTTTTTTTAATTAGCTCTTAACTTAACGAGTTAAATTGATCTTCATAATATAATAAATTAACTAAAAAGTTTATCAATTTTATAGCCACTTTAAATTATTGTTTTGCTTAGTATATGCCACTTTTAAAATATTTTTTTGAAATTCATATCTAAACTCTATTCTGAATAGGAAAGATAATGGTGAGGCGACCGGTTTTAGTCCGGCGGCGTCAGATGCTTCTCCTAATAAGTCAACCTCCAGGTTCGACATTCGGAACTCACATGCGCACAAGTCGCCGCCAGGTACCCTTCTTATTCTTAATAGAGTGAACAAATAATTGTTTTATAGGAAAAAAAAATAATAACTCATTTTATTATTATAATCGGAAATCAATACAGTGGAACCTCGGTATCTCAAACTCCGGTACCTAACCTGAAGTTTCTATACATCGAATATTTTTTTTGGTCCATTGAGACTTCATGATACCGAGGTTCTATTGTATTAATTATATATATATATTTATTTAGTTAGTTAAATATGCTATCTTATTTCAACTTTAATCAGCTTAACTTTGTTCTTAATGAAAATGATGTAACTTTAGATCTAGTCTTGTCAAACACTTACCTTAATGTCTCTAACAATCCTGACCCACTATTACCATTAGATAAACATCAACCGGCCAGCTCTTAATGTTACTATTGATTATAGTCAGTTTAATTTACTGAAGCCAACAGATTGTTTTTATGATTTTAAGCATTGTAATTATATTGATATTGTTAAATTTTAGATGATAATTTATCTTATAATACTTTTACTAACTTTAGCCTTAATGAATTAATTACACCTCTATAATTGTTTAAACAAAGAAATTAGTACCTTTGTACCGAAAAAGCGTGTTTCGTCAAACAGATTTCCCTCTTGGTATTCTACCGACCTAAAAATATTGTTAACACATAAAAAAAAATTGGTCATTCTTTGTATATAAAATTGAATGACCCATCAGATTATAATAGCTTTTCCTGTTTGAGAGCTAATTGTAAGAGAACTGCTAACAAGATTGTTAACACATAAAAAAAAATTGGTCATTCTTTGTATATAAAATTGAATGACCCATCAGATTATAATAGCTTTTCCTGTTTGAGAGCTAATTGTAAGAGAACTGCTAACAAGATTTTAAACACTATATTAATAAAGTTCGACTATCTGTCAAATTAAACCCAAAGTCTTTCTGGAAATACGTTAATAATCGTAGAAATAATAATTCAATACCAACTCTCCATACACTCGATACAACGTCAGCTGATAATGGATATGATATTGTTAACTTATTTGAAACTTATTTTTTAGTTAAAAATTACCCTCAGTCTGACAAACTTACCACTTTTGTTCCCTGTTTTAATAATTCTTTAAGTAGCAATCATTCATTTTCTTTTTCGTCTATATCGCCTACGGAGGTCGATGTTATAAACGAACTTACCGCTCTACCTATCAATTTTAACGTCGGTCCCGATAACATTGTAGCCTTTTTCCTCTACAATTGTAGATTTATACTAACACCAACTTTAACTTATATTTTTAACTTATAGCTCCAAAACGGTATATTCCTTGACCTATGGAAAAACTCTTTTACTCACCCTGTTTTTAAAAAAGGTGACCCCACAAATGTTTCCAACTATCTGCCAATATCAAAAATATCAATAATTCCTAAACTTTTTTCAAAACTAATTTCTACTAAAATTAATAATTATTGCTCCAAATTTCTCAGCCATCATCATATCCATATGGTTTTAGACCTAAGCGATCAACTAATTGTAATCTAGCTATTACTAAACAAATAATACTTAACTCTTTCGAAGCCCATTCGCAAACCGATATCATTTACACTGATATGTCTAAAGCATTTGATAGCATAAACCATGAAATATTATTTATGAAATTAAATCTGTTTGGGTTCTCTGACCTTCTGCCTTCATGGTTTCACTCTTTTTTCACAAACCATAATATCGTTGTTAAGCATTTGAACTTTGAATCGGATCAATTTAATGTACCATCCGGGCTCCTGGTAGGAGATCACCTCTCTACTCTACTTTTTAATATTTTATAAACGACATTCCAGATGTCATAAAAAATTCTCGTGTTTTTCTTTTTGCAGATGACCTTAAACTGATAAAAATAATTAACAATCAAGGTGACGAGCTTTACTTAAAAAACGATATTGATAACATTCAATTCTGGTGCTAAGCTAATCACCTGCGAAATGGGATATTTCGCCGTAGTTGTTTCGCCGTGGCCGGTTAGCCGTGGCCATTTCGCCGTGAGGACATTTCGCCGCGAGCCGTTTCGCCGTAGGGACATTTCGCTGTGGTCGAAAAATTGTGTATAAACATAAAATTAACTTTGAATTCACCCTATATAATGTTATAATAATATGTTATATTATTATTGATATTATTGGATTTTTCGTATTTTTCTTATCTTATCTTAAAATGTCTACACATCGCCCATTTCAAGCATCTCAACCTAACCATCTAACCTAACCATCTCAAGTAAAATCTACTCGTGGCCGTGAAATATTTGTATGATGGTTTTATGTATGTTTATGATAATGTTAATTTTAATAATACAATACGGTTTTGGCGTTGCCGTAATATAAATGTTTGCAAAGCGCGAATTCATACATGAGTGAATGACTACACAGTCATAAAAACTATCAATGAACATTACCTAAGGCAGAGTACCTTAGTGAAGAGTTTCATACTTTATTAGAATGGTTTGAAGACAACTATATTGGAAGGGTAAATAGAAATGGTAGAGGTAGACGGCACGCACGTTTTCCACCTGATATTTGGAATCTTCATAATATAGAGTTTTAAATTCCCAAGATAGGACTAATAACCACGCAGAAGCTGCGAATAGACGACTTAATGTCGAAATGGGAGTATGCCATCCGTCAATCTGGGCTTTTATTAATTGTTTGAAAAAAGTTCAATCTGGCCATGATTATTTTTATTCTCAGTTAACTGCAGGAAAAAGTAAACCTAAAAAATTAAAAAAATTTTCTGATCTAGATAAACGTATTTTGAAAATAGTACAACAATATGATAGTAGAGACTACATTTCATATTTAAAAGGCATAGCATATAATATCTCACTACCATGATTACTGCTTACTTTATTATTATTATGACGAAATATAGTATAAAAAATGTATTATTCTTATTAATTTTTACCTATTATTATTATATTTTGAATTATGAATATGACGAATATAATATAAATGTATTATTATTATACGACGAAAATATTTAATGACCACGTCGAAACGGCCACGGCTAAATGTCCTCACGGCGAAATGGCCACAGCGAAACGGCCATGGTGAAACGGTCACGTCGAAATAGCCACGGCGAATTGTCCTAAATCCAATCGCCTGTTATTAAACATTGACAAATGCAAATTTATGTGATTTAGCCTAAGCAAAAATGTCATCAATTATAATTATCATATTTCCGGGACTGATATTGAATTATTAACAAACTTGAGACCTAGGTGTCATTTTCGATTCTAAACTAAAATTTTCAGCCCATATTGAAATGATACAAAATAAGGAAATGTGCAACCTGGGTTTTATCAAAAGAACTTGTGGATCATTCAGAGATCCTCTAACTCTAAATGTTTTATTCTGTGCCTTTGTTCGCTCAAACCTAGAGTACTGTCCATTAGTTTGAACTAATAACACTTCTAAACAGATTGATGCGATAGAATCAGTTCAAAATAACTTCTTCCGTTTCATCTCCTTCAAGTTTAATATTTATAGGCCACCTCATGGTTCCTATGATTCAGTATTATCATTTATCAATCTTCTTCCACTCAAAACTAGACGCACTTTATTACTATCCAAATTTTTACACAATTTACTTTTAGGGAATATTGGTTGTGATGAGCTCCTTTCCCTCATCCATTTTAAAGTAAATCACCGTAACACACGATGCAGTGATGTATTCTATCCCGTTCCATATAAAACAAATTATATGATAAACTATCCTTCTAATATCCTAATGGCTGCGGGTAATTCCATTACCTTTGATTTTGTTTAGCATGTCTCGCCCTATATATTTCTTTGTTGTTACTTACATTTTTCGTTCTCTTGTCTATATTTGTAACTTATAACTGTATAATGTATCTTAGATTGTTATTTGTCATTACTATAACATAATTGTATTATTATTACCATGTATACGCACAAAATATTGTTAAGGACTTACGTCCGTTTCTATTTAAAAATAAAATAAAAAATATAAATTAGCCGGACGGGCCCTTATGGACTTTATAAAATACAACACATATTATAGGTATACTTAAAGTAGTCAAAACAATATAAAACAAATTAATCAAAAAACAGTTTAGGAGTGATGGGGATCATTTACTAACTGCATCATTCGCAAGACGCGGTTGTTGTATAAATAGTTAGTCGCACATATTGGGACATGGAATAGAGAAAACTTACCCAAGTTAGTAGGTACTTGGTACTTGGAACCAGTAGCGTACGCAGAATTCGTTAATGGGGGGGTTACCATATTTTATATACAATTTAAAAAAAAAAAATGTTTATAAACCACCGGGAAGTGACCGACCGACAAAACGCATAATATGATCCTAGTCTAAATATAATATTCCATAAAAAAAATCATTATTCGTATTTTACTTTGGGGGGTTAAACCCTTAACCCCCCCCCCGTCGGTACGCCACTGCTTGGAACCTTAAACCTAACCCTACCTAATAAATCAGGAGAATCAACAAGTTAGCATTAATTCTTCTGTTTCTCGATGTGTCTAAATAATTATATATTATATACTTATTTACTAATACTTCTATATTTCTAAATTGTATTGTAAATATTAAATTCTATACTTCCCATATGGACTATTTTTTAACTAAATTTTAATAAAACTAATAAATGTAACTTAGTCTTTCAAAAAAATATCCTAAATAACTTCAGTTTTTTATTATTATTGCATATGACATCAATCTCGGCTTGGGTAAAATTTAATAACTTCAGTTAGTTAGGCTTAATCATAGAATTTATCTAATTTGTATTATTTTTTCCATATATTATTTGTTTTATGGTGCATAGAAATTACTAATATAAATATTTTGTGAAAATGTCATGTATCTTCGGTTATTTTTTTAGAGTTACAATAAATAACAAAATTAATTTTGTCAAAAACTAGTCTTGCAAAATTCTCAGTTTATCTTAATTTTTTTTTGTTTTTCCTGACGCTTTTGAAAACTATTTTGAATTTTTTACTTTGACCCACCTCCCTAGAAGTAAAAACTAGATTCATTTTCCTACCAAAAGAATGTTGAAGAAAATCGAAGCATATTTATTGTCCCAAAAGTTGTCTGTCATCACTCATCACAAATAATAAAAAAAAAACACATATCATTGTAAAATCAATACATTTATCACTCCACTCACAGTCTAAAATATAATTTAATAATTTTTGAATAAAATAATATAGGATCCTTTACATTTTCATAAGTTAACATAATATGTCTACAAGACAAAAAAGTGCCACGTAACTAAAAATATTAACGTCGGAAAACAGTGTTATTGTTACCATAGGTGAAACTCACTTGGATCAGAGAAATTATGACAATCATTGACATCAACATTCGCTTGGAAATCATTTTGTCATTGAACTTTTGAAATTAAAATGTTCCGAAATTGTATTCAAACAATGAAAAGTATACGAATAAAATCATCGTCTGTACAGTTTACGTCGCGTAATATGGTTTTATGGAGTTTTTATCAGTGCATACGATAATTAAACCCATATTATGAATAACATAAACGAGCAAGTGTCGCAGTAGCACACATTTCCCGTGGATAATAATATAGGTAAGCACTTGTTTTAATAATTATTATGCTGTTGCGGAAACGAAATTGGAAACTTATTTTGTAATTTTTTTTTTTTTTTTCAATAACCTTTTAAAATATTATATTATCAGCAAACGATTGATAGGTAGGTACCTAACTATATTGGCTATCTGGAAATTAACATTAAGGAATCGAAATGAATAGCGATTGACTCTTTCTAGTATACGTTACATATTTAACACTCATACGAAAACATCATCTGCATGCCTGCATTGGTCTGCACTCGAAATCCACGACCATGATCACATTATTAAATATTCTTATACGATAATAGGTATTAGCTGTTTTTAAACATATAGTTTAAATTATCAATATAAGTGGATTTAGTGGATTGAAAAAAATGAACAGAAATTTTTTAATTAAACAGGTACACGTATGGTATAGTTACAGTTAAAGCACTCTCGCGATGACACATCAGTAACACTATGTGTTTTCTAAACGGTTATCTTGCACAGTAATTATTAAATACATATTATACTAAACAGATACACTCTCAAAATTTAGTTATTATTATAAATTATAAAATTGTACAAAATATACATAACTATTATATTATATCATTAATAATTTATATTTAACACAACCATGCAGTGACCCACTCAATATGACAACACCACTACTGTATATTAGAACGGTACCTACTTGTCAATCCTTTCTTTTTCAATTACAATATTCAATTTGAATTCAATTTTTTTTTTTTTAATATAATTATTTTTTTAATACACATTTCACAAATTCAATTTTTGGTTTTTACTTTTTCTTTCTTCTTCGTATTTTTAAATTTCATTAAGAATATATTTCTTTCGAATTAATGTTTGCATCCTGGATCTTATTGTTCCTATTATAATATAGGTATATACGTCTAATTTTAATATAAAAAAGGTGGGCAAGTGGGTGTCGCTCTGCTGTACAAGTGGGTCACTGTATAATGGATGATATAAATTTGAATTCAACGATATAATATCATTGTATAAGAAAGACGATTCTGAGCGGAGACGGTATGTCAGTCTAGGTATAAAACATATTATATACATATCTATGGTACTAAACCAAAATTTGACCTATAATTATAGGTACCTATAATAAATTCCAAATTAATCATATCACAATATCCATTAGGTACTTATAACGCGTTGTACATCAATAAAAACCGTGATACTATCATAGATATATAATAGTACACTTTAGAAGTTTCAAGTACCCACGAATAATATTATTCAATCACAACAAAATAACTTAAATAGTTATTCCAGGTTTTTTAATATGTAATTTCGTCCAAATTTGAATTTAAAATGTCTGTAAAAAATAACTGTCTTCGTATATTTCTTAGATTTATTGGTTACAGTATGAACTATTTATGAGAACCTTTGTTTTAAATTTGCAATCCTTAAATATAAAAACTGAACTTTTTATAATTTATTAATTACAACGATTGATAATTTTCGAGATTTTGATAAATTTTGTCAAAATTAGATCTTTAAATGCTTATAAAATAAAACTGTGCCTATGTATTTTTAATATTTTTTAACTGATATTGTGACAATATATCAGGAGCCTTGTATTAAATTTTTGCACTTTTGGGCCCAACAGATAAAACTGATATTTATAGAAAAAAAAAACTAAAAAAAATTGAAGGCAGTAAATGTCCGTAAACAGCTCAAAAAGAGTCAAAATATTTTCAAAATTGTAAGGTGTATAGAAAATGCTAATATAAACACTCAATGAAATTTTCATGTATCTACAGTTATTCGTTTTTGAATTACAACAAAATAAGGAAATCGCTACATGAGAAATGGAGTGAATATCCAATGTTGTAAAAATTCGAATTTCAAACCCTCATAAAAATTTAATTTGACTTTCTTATAGACATTTTTTTTTTGATAAAGGTAGATAATCTTATAAGGAATCTTGTATTACATTTTCAAATCTTAGATTTAAAAAGAAAAATTTTTACGAATTCTTAACTCAAAATAATTTGCTAATTTTCGTGATTTTTCCATATTTTGTCAGTTTTTGAACTTTAAATACTTATAAAAAAAAAACTGTGACTAACGATTTTTAATATTTTTCATCTGCCTTTGAAACAATATACTAGGATACTTCTATTAAATTTTCAAGCTTTCGCAACCAATAGGTACATTATTATACATACTACAAAGGTAGCAAATATATATTTTAAAGTTAGATCCGAAATCCGAATATAGAATATAAATCAATATTAGTTATTGCTCATATCAATATTGATTATAACATGTCCTTGAATTTTAAAATAACTTTTAGTTAAACATACAATGCCAAAAACAGTGTTTAAACTTTAATATTATGTTATATTTTATAGAAAAAATAAAAACGTGTAAACCATATTAAGTAGGTATTATGAACTTTAAATATTAAATCCATACGACTATACACTAAATCATATAAATTAAATATGATAAAAAATTAAATTAAATTAAAATAATCATCACGATAAAACTTCGAGTAGGTATTTTAAAATTTTTGTCTCGATAATATTTAAATAATATGATGTTTACACTATAACCCATAATATACCCCGATAAAAAAATACTATGTATAAATACATATATTACAATTTACTTGTTAGCATTTATATTTTATTTATTCAATACGATATTACATATACCTGCTATACAATATCCTAAAAAAAAAACTCAATATGAGATTTCAGATAATTATTATGAAAGTCGATTTTAACAACTGTGTATCAATTAAACATGTTTTAAAGCAATTAATTATATTATAATATACGTATCTATACATTTTAAATAATAAAATCGTTTATGGTGAAATTAATTATTTTTTTACAATAATCTGATTAAGATATTTTACGTTATCAAAAGGAAAAGAGAATATTTTCATTAAAAACGAGATTAAATAATGTTACATATTATACTGAAATACCTATGCCGTTACACATATTACGCTGTAAATTTTAATTTGTATAATATTGCTGTAAACAATTTTATTTACGCATTCCTAAAATCAAATATTACACTTCAATAGCAATACAACAATTCAAAGTTAATAATAAAATAACTGATAAAACCTTTTACGTTGGAAAAAAAATTTAAAAAAATATATATTTAATTATACTGCAAATTGATGATCAAACAATGATTTATATTTTATGCACACTAAAAACTGTTGTATTTCAACTTTCGGAGTTCAGTCGGTTTGAGAGAATGGCGAAGAGTTCAAAACCATTGGGTATTACATTAAATTACAGTTTTTTTTTGTACCCCAAAACCACGGACTAAGATATACTTGTTCCCTTGTTCCCTTAAAAATCCGTAAGTGGAAGGTGATCTGAAAAAAATTAATAATTAATATTTTTGACCACTCTTTGTCTAAATGAATATTTTTACATTATTTTCAACAACATGCATAATAAAATCCAATTCTCTGAATAACGTCTATTTTTTAAATTGGTGACTTTACTAGTATTTACGATTTCTTGGACTATTGTTTTTTGTGAACTATTTAAGTTTGTATGTTCAACTAAATCATTTAATGATTTATTTGTTAAGTTCTTTGATTTATCTTTTAGTTCACTCAATGTACAATTTAATTGGTTAATTTTTAATTTAAACCTTTGAAAAATAAAATATTAAAAAGTATTTTAATAAATAAATAGGTAATTAGTTTAAATTAATTTTACCTTTTGTTGGATTTCTTAACATTTTTCGATTTTTTTATCATCCCTTTAATTATTTTGTGTCTTGTAGGAGTGAGAGTTGTTCCAACATATGTTTTAGTTCTTATAGATAATCTTTTTTTATACTCTCTAAAATAAGGGAACAATGAATTGCATCTTTTACATCTTTTTTTTGAACTTGTTAGAATAAAACATTCATTATGGCTCCAGGTTGTATTCTCTAAATAAGTATTCTTAACCCGAATTCCTACATAAAAATTGGTTTAGGTAGGTACCTATACAGCTGTTTTATTTAACATTTAAAACTCATACCTGAAAAATGTATGACACTGGGACCTCCTTGGCATATTTCTTTTTGTTCAAACAATTGAAGGGTTTCAGTAATTTGCAATGTATCAAGTGGGTATGTTAATTGTTGTAGACCCAAATTTTTAGAATTTCGACACTTTTGATTAACATAATAACTCCCTTTTAAAGTATTTGATTCAAAAACAATTTGTTTTTCAATAACAATTTTAGCTTCATTAAATTCTATGAATTTAATTAGCTTATACATTGCAACAATACATCCATCATGATATAATGACCAACCAACTGGCAATAATAAACTTTCTACCACAGTTTTGATTCCTTTAATAAATCATATGAACTATGAAGTTAGGTAGGTATATATAAATTAAATAATCTACATGGTCTATTATGACAATTAATCACAAACATACTATTAATGTTGGTGTTTGACATAATCTCTTAGGTTTTGGGTTCACCAAACAATTCTTTCCTAAATGACTCAATAACAGGTGTACAAGATTCTCGAGGTTCTGCAGGCAAATCATTTGTTTTGTGAATATCAAATGGTGAATTAAATACTGATGGAAAAGCACCTTTTTTAGCCCAATTAAATTCCTTTTAAACTGTGTATAGAATTATTGAGTTATAATTTATAATTTATAATTACCAACTAGGTACTTATATAGTACCTACTACCTACCTAAATGGCTAAATAGTAAATACAAATAATTATGTTTTCTTACTTCCAAGCAGGGACAGAAACCGTTACAAATTTTAACGGTT